TATTTTCCTTTCTAAGCTCTCTTTAAAGTTAGTTATATTCCTATTTACTTAATTAGTTAATTATAAATATAATTATCTTATTAAATTTCTATTTATTTAACTAGTTAGTCTTAGTTTTATTTAACTCCTTTATTATATAATCTTTATTTTATAGTATTATATTACTTCCTCGTGACCTGGTCGCGGCTATATTATAATATATAGCTTCTACTAGATTACTAGCCCTCTATCTCGACTATATTATCATTTACATCGCCCTTAATAGTGTCTATAGTAGTGATGATTGTATATAGTAATCGCTTATAGAGAGTCCTAGTGATCGGACTCTCGACTTCAGGGCCATCTCCTGACGCGTCCCTTATTCTCGTAAAGAAATGTATAGTATATCTCTAATCAGAGAAATTCGAAGCCTCGCCCTTATTGATTGCGCTAACTGAAGATCAGAATAGTATTAATTAGAAAGTCACTTCATATATCTCGCAGCATAAATTCCTGGAATATTCTATAAAGAACTGGATGGTGCACGCTCGAGACATAGATACTGAAGACTCTGAATTTTGGGAGGTAGTAGCTGAAATATGCGACCCTCGGTCGAAGCGGTTCGAGGTATGGCTATAGGTGTAGAGGTGCACTGCGGAGCCTAGCCCTCAACCTCCACTATTCCCTAATAAGCTTACAGTAGCACTTCATTTCAAACTCGAGAGACTAGTTCTGCATCTGATAATAGTGGATGATTTCTGGAAACCGGATGAGCTGTGGGAAATATTGCTTGACTACATAGTAGTTAATGCTTATGAGTTACTGCTAAATAATCTGGTCGAACGGGATATTCCAAATTGGGATTCGCTTGTAAACAAGAAAGACGAGGAAAAGAGAACGCCACTCCATAAAGCTGCAGAAAATGGCCACAAGAAAATTATCTTGACATTACTCGGTAATGGCGCCAAAGTCGACGAGAAGGACAAGGCACAGAGAACACCACTCCATGAAGCGGCAGCCAATGGGTATGCTGAGATTATCGAAATTTTACTCGGTAAGTATCTCGATTGTCGCGGGGCAGTTATGCGGTTGCCAGCCTCCAGCAACAAACATGAAGATGTTTCTTGGTAAGAAATTAGCACTGTAGAAGTCCAACTCCAACCCTAGCCTTGTTGGCTTGCATGTACTAAGTAGGCACAACGTTATGAGCCTCCCAAATCAGATGCAGAGGATGGATCACAGACCAGCGCGGATTGGAGGACTTCTAGTATCGGGTTCCTGGTTATGCATAGTTTTAGTCGGTTAGTAAGATAAGTGAAGAATCAAATGTCTCCTCTATTGCCGGGTCCCATGAGAAGAACTAGGAAGATTGGGTTCCGATTTGCTCCGGAGATGTCCATTGAGCATGCTCTTGGACCGTTTTCGATCTAGTCTCTTGTCATCGGTCGCGACCCATGCGGAGAATCTACAAAATGCCAGCACCTGTTACGAAATGGCTTGTAGGACGGCATGGCTGCGACCTAGGGCCAGCATGGACGAGATTCCTCTCCGCAGGAACTGCGAGCTCGCCAGTTCGAGAACAGCCACCCCATCCCCATTCATACCGGCGTACGGATGATGATCACTGATTGCAAAAAATTTCTCGTTCTCCTCAATTCAACGAAGCAAGCTGTGCATTGCCAGATCTTCCAATAGCACATGTTGTTGGGTCCTGCGCACTACACTCTAAGCCACGCACTTCGACAACTTGGCTACCATAGCAACTTCAAAGTCACCAATATCTGCGTCAGGAAACTCATTCCTCCCACCAAGGGTCAAGCAGTCTCGAAGAACGGAACCATATAGGCCCCCGACAATCCTGGCCAGATCATGCGTTAGGAGCGTATAGCTTTGCGGGGAAAATCTGACCACGTCGGTCTGATACAGTAGAGTCGATAGGGATTGACAGGAAAGGGACCTTACGAGTCAATGTACCTCCAATCGCGGCACTGAACAGGCCCATCCGGGGTCACACGCACAACATCATGTCGGTTCAATTTGTCCCACAGAGCAATTTCCAACATTACGCACCCTAGGCTATACAAGTCATGGAACTTTTGTGAACGGACTCGATCCGGGTCCCGCCGCTTGCCGGGGTGAATGTAGTAATCGAGCGCAAGAATCACCGTAGGGCTCTCGTAATAGCCATGCGAGGCGGTCTCTTGCTTTTGGACCCGTGTGTGGTTATAGCCCGCCAAGATGACGTTACTTAGATCGAAGCATGGGGAAATGCCAGGGTCGGCTTCGTTCTTGCTAGCTCGGTCGCGGCTGGGGAAGAAAAGAACGACAGACGACCGGATGTTCCTGTTTCGTTAATGACAGATAAAGGAGTTAGTTCTGCAAGAAATTTCAATGCAAAACTGGGGTGACTATCTTAACTTGTGAAGTAGATCGGCTGTATGCATGATGTGGATGGCCCTGGCAAGCTTCAGGGCAATCCTGAATCTCATTCCCAGATCGACCCATGGTCCACTTAGAGAATTCGGCATCGGGCTTCCAGTACCGGAAATCAGCATATCGAGGGTGGAAGGCTTTCGCTTCTGTGAGATTTCCCCACTCGGGATTTTATCAAGAGGTGGCAGGTCCATCCGTATATGATGCGGAGGCATGAGCACCATTCCGAGACCACGGGCCGCATTATTCACAACGCCGTAGCTGAATGGTAGCAGCATCGAGTCTGGCTTTTGGAATGACAGCACTCCCGACACCCTCCAGAGGTTTTCCCGCACTTCTTGTTCCCTTCCAGGCCGAGGCGTGGTCCATTCGATGAACACGACCCTGTGATCGCCCGGGCGGTGCAGGTCATACAGCAGCGCCATCGAAGAATCCGTTCCCGGGATGTAGTACTCTGGAGAAATCCTAAGTCGGGCCATCTCGAACACTTCTCGCGGTCTCGGGTTTGGTGTAGCGGCCAACGTGGCTCTGAAGTCGGACAGGGCCGCTAGTTCCAGGTTGTGATTTGCCGTCATCCCGTCGGACAGGGGGGCACGACTCTCTGCCTTGAGCGATTCAGCTATTCCCTTAAGCTCTTCTACGACAGAGGAAGAGCTTTTCAGTTCTTCTACATTTCGAGCTAAATCTCCAATGGCGTTGAAGGTGCCGAGGTGGAGCCAGATCACCAAGTCAGGCGGCAAGAGGTTCTGCAAATCAGCGTTGAAGCCTCGGAGAGAATTGGCGAGATCTTCCCATTCACTGAATTTGCCCCCTAGTGTCAATTTGATCCGGGAAAGCAGGGAAATGTTGACCCTGCAGGAATTGATGTAGTTCTTGGCGTCCTTACCGCTGAACCTCGTCACATCTAGGCGCTTGGGAGGGTTGACAGCCGGTTTCTGTTTGCGTCAGGGACACAGTCAGCCTCCGGATCAAATTTATTACATCCATCAAGTGAAATTACCTTTCCGTCCCCTCCGAATCGGAGCCCATACTTGTGTTGGAGTGCATTGACGTCCGAAAAGGTGTAGCTCATGATCGAAAGCACTTCCAGTATTCCTTTCGCGTTCCCTGGGTAGTCTGTTTGAAATTCGTGGAACTTCTCCACTTCTGTGCGCTTTCCATCTTTGTCTTTCCATATATTTTGCCACGCGCGGAACACCTGGAGGTCTTGTTAGTTTCACCAGTATCAGTGCGCGTAAAGGGACATGTATTCGAAATACAGAATATTGCGCGTTGACTTTGTTAAACAGCTCGACCGCCTTGGGCTTTGCACGATATGCTGTGTTGATGATCTCCCATCCACCTGTGCATTATCAGCATGATTCAGTCGCCTTTCGGCTAACGCACAAACCTTTGATCAGCGGTAACAAGCTGATTACTGTTGCTGCCAGGCCGAAGGTCTCCGCCATTTTTGAGCTCTGTGCGATGGATACTTTCCTACTGGGGACAGAATTCGAGGACTAGAGGCCTTTTCATGCAGCTGCACATTTGTCAAGCCAGAAAGCGTCGCACGGTATCGCACACTAGGGCGGAAAAGAGGGGCTCAAAAGGCCGTATGATGATGACTAGCTAGGAAGAATGGCTAACTCGGAACGGTGGAGAGCTGGAAACCTCAATGCCTACGAACGAGGTACAGAGCTAAATAGCGGACATTTAAATGGATAGTGGGCGACCTTGAAATAACGGTAGACATTTAAATAAGACAGTGAAATAATAGGTCACCTAGAAAAGAGGACAGTGCTTCGCCCAGTCCCAAATATAGCTGCAATGGATACATCTACGGGAGGCCTCCCGCGCGTGGCTTAACACCTCCAACAGGGACGACCGGCATCGCGCCTGCGTTTTGTCTGTCGTTTCGACGGGGCGGTGTCTCTGGCCTTCCACTTTTCGTAGTCAGCGCATTCGGCCTGCATTACATGGTGGCAGGCACCGACCAGAAACTCCAGGCCGGTATGCTTGTCGAGCAGGTTATCTCGGATGCTGGCACAGAGGTCATACTTTTCGTCGTCGGTCTTGCATACGCGGATGTGGTCGCAGAATAGCTGGACTCGTTGAAGTTGGTCGCGGTTCAGCACGAGAAAGTCGTCATCGAGGCCGGTGGAGGCCAGGCATTGTTAGCGGCAGTTAGTGTTGTAGGCACGTCGACGGTGCGGGCGGGCCTGATCGGTGGAAGCGACATTTCGGATCGGTCGTGGGAGTTATCGTCAAGCGTCAACTAAGAGGCAGGCCATGATCCACCGCGGAAGGTGGTAAACCACCTAGGCCGGGACTCGGGAAAAAGGTGTGCCAGCAACTTGCATGAAGATTGCTCTCCAAGCGGTCACCCAACCAGAGCTATGTCCACCACGCTTAGCATCGCGATGGCGGAACATCGGCACTCTGCAACGCAACGCTGCCAGAAAGGGTAGGTTTTCTGTCGATATCTGCTCAACTAGCTTGTTCTGTAAGGGCCTGCGTGTAGCATTTTCGCTCCCAAATTCTGCACTGGTATGTATGGCATTTTTGCCCTCCAAATTCCGTGCTGGGCTCTGAAACCGCCCCGTCCAAAAATGGACCCAGGGCATTTCAGTGTGGCCCATTTCTGGGTATTTCAGTGTGGTGCATGGCTAGGGACTTTCATAATCGATTTCCATAAGATCAACGGCCATATCGTGAACGACGACAGGAGCGTAGACGCTTCGGTCGCCGAGCGCCGCCGCCCTCGCTGGATCGCTTCTGAGAATTCTGTGCTGTGGCACTCGCGACGGCTCTTCCAGTACAAGGAAAAGATCGAAGGTTGGAGGACGGGAGCTCTGGGAAACAAGCCATCGCCCTCGCCTCCGGCCGGGAGCATGGGCAACACAACTTTAATAAAACGGCCAATTCGCAAAGTGCAGACCTGAGCATGGTCGCGTCCAGATCCGATGGCTGCAGGGATCAGAACGCGCCAGGCAACGTCCCCCCACAGCTGATGCCATACTCCAGAAGTACCGAGGGGACGCGGCTCTTGCGGATCACTGGTACTTCTGCTATTTAATTAGCGCACCAGGTTCCCCTGGCCCTGACGGCAACACCCACCACCAGGCCTACGGACCGCAAATGATCCCCCTGGTATCACCCATCCACACCAAGGTGCAGTACTCCCGTACTCCCGACTGCTATTCAAGTCGTCGCTGGAGTCGGCGAGCTGCATCCTGCACCGTCCTGCCGGGTGCTGCATGTGCGAGGCCCAGAGACGCTCTGATCAATCGACCGGCCAGAAGCAATGCAAGTAATAATATACCGGCACTGCCAACCTCGATTTGCCATCGAAAGTCTCCCAACACTCTCACCTGCCTCAAACCGAGACGTTCATCAACCGAGCCTTTCTCAATGTAGCGTACTTCAGTGGGCGCGCAGTATGAGGATCCCCGCTCGGTGGGTAGTACCATTCCAATAAGGAAAGGGCTAATGGTCTTGGTACGGTTGCAATGAATTTACGCCTACCCCTAGACACCCTCACCGTCGGCGGTACCTGTGACATTGAAGTGCATGGGCGTCGTAGATATGGCCCCCCACGGCCAACGACCCATAATCACTGCTTATCTCCACACGACGCCAGCTCTCGTATGGTCAGGGCTTGGGTGGTTCGCCTTGATCGATTTCACCAAAATGAGACCGAGCTACTCGGCCTGTACACTACACAGTTCTACTCCCCCAAGTCACAGTTACATTACATTAGCGGCACACCAATACAAGCTTGTCTACTAAATAGGCTAGAGGGGTGCCGGTATTAAGGTAGTAGTCGATGAAAATAGCTTAAAGATACTACTAGCCTCTCCTTCACGGACCGATATATGTCGAATCCAAGCGGCAGCGGGCACGCGAGGCTGACGTCCGCCGTGGTGAAGAACGTAGAACCTGGGGCCCCTCGCGGACATGCTCCCGACTGCTACCTGTACTCAGCTAATGGCGGCGACAAAAAGGCGATCTTATAGGCCGCCGGAAAAGGCTGGACAGTCATCAGCCAGAGCTTCCACAAGAGGAACGAGCCCAGATACGGTGGCCTGCAAGCCGATGATCTTCTTTACGACTGGATGGCTCTACAAAAGCCGTATCCCACAATCGTTCATGCGCGGGCAATTTCGGGCGAGGAGATGCCGATAATATCGAACCACCCCATGATGAGTTTGTAAACCACAAGGGCTACAACACGCTTTCCATCAGAAGCCACGATGACGAGGCCTTTATTATTGACGGGTCCTCGGTATACCGGAACCCAACGTCTCCAAATGGAGACCGCGAGCTTCTTGAGCTCTGCGCCAACGGTACCGCCGTGACGGCGGTCGGTCACACCAAGACGGGCACCAGCTTCGCTGCCCCTGCCACGGCCGGCGTTGTCGCCCTGCTGCAGAGTGCCAATAATCGTCTGCAAAGGTTCCCCGAAGCGTGCAGGGCTGTGCTTTTAGCCGGCAGCCACCGACAGCTGGCGAACTCGACGTGGTGGGCCGACGTTGGCTCCGCGCGCAAGGACAGTAAGGTGGGAGCAGGCGTAGTGGACGCGGAGGTTTCGCTCCAAATCGCACTCAAATGGACATCCATCGCCGGACAAGTCGGCTGGGCCCAGAGGCTGGGATGGGAAACGTCTCCTGGACTCGGACTTCGATAGCCGGGACAAGCTTTCCACGTTTAGCTACTACCTGCGTGCGCCGGGAAGTCCTGTGTCGCCCTTCGATCGCCTCCGGGTGAAGGTGGCGATCGCGTGGCATAGTGAGGTGACGACAAAGCACGACCAAGCAACGTCGTCGCAGTTGACCACGGACCTAGATCTACTTGTTTTGGATAGTAAAGGAAATATAGCCGCCTGTTCGGCGTCCTTCGATAACAGCTACGAGGTTTCCGATTTGAACGCTGTCCCGGGCGAGACTTACCGTATCAAGATCCGCCGCTGGTCCGGTTCCGGATCGGTCATATGCGGCATCGCCTGGACCGTCGAGCAGACATCGTGGCTGCTCGAGCGGCCCGGAAACGCTGGATTTTCCGCTAGCCTCAACATAGCTATGGGCACATCGTCTACTGGTGCCTACGAAACGACAAACAACACTGCGCTGGGCTCCGCTGCCGGCCAGAACTCGGCCCTGCTTTCATTTGGTGTCCCCGAATCCGCGACGCTGCAACTCGTGGTGGGTCTCAACATGGTGGACATGGGCAACTCATCGTCCAACAGATGGGCCATCCGCATCAAGGCTTTCCCCAGCGACGTGACTGAGCAACAATTCATGTTGAGCATCAACTCATGGGCCGACACTATGCTATATAACGCCCGTGTGTCTTGGCTGATGCTAGACCAGGCCAAGCTGGGCGTGCAGTGCGGCCGCTTCGACAGCCATAACTACCGCGCTGCTGGAACTACGGGAAACATTTACAAGACGGACAAGTTCCCACATCCCTTCAATAAGTCACCTATTGTGTGCGTCGGCCTGAGCGGCTGGGACATCGACAACAACTGGCGCCTCCACTGCTGGGTGGACAATATCAAGACCGACAGGTTTCACATACATGTCGACACATGGGGCAGCTCGGTATTATACTAGGCCAGTGCTACCTGGATTGCCATCAATGACGAAAAGCCGGGTTGGCTCACAAGCGAAATAACAGGAAAAACCCAGTCCGCTACATGGAGTGGCCACGTCTCATTTGCACGCCCTTTCCTGCGCACGCCCGCCATGTTTACAGCATTAACTTACTTCGATGTCAATTATGATTACACCTTTCGTTTGCGGGTCAGGACGGTGCCCCAAGAAGAGGGGTTCGATTGGAGGATGGAAAAGTGGTCGGACACGGAGCTCTACCAGATCCGGGCCTCCTGGCTTGCCTTGGAGCTACCTAACTGGCGCCTGAGAGAAGGTTGAACGCTTTTTTGTAGATTTGATAGTTTGAAACTATGCTACAGGAGAGTAGGGCACCCTGAGGAGGCGTGTGGCTCAAGTTCTCCGAGAGCCTGGGGCGCAAATGTAGTAGAAGCAGCGAGAATGACAGTGAAAAGAGCACCAATTTTAACAAGCTCGAGACTTGGGCGTTCCGGCGCAGCAATGGCTTTATGAAGGCCAGCACCGCCACCAAGTTGCAGACATGTGTCGGTGAATCCACAACGCAGAGGCCGCTTGCATGCTGACTGGCGTCAAGGTGGCGTATTGCGCAACTATATCGGAAACGATATACTACAGTAAGGAAGGGAGAATCCTCGCTGGGTTTGATAAAAATACGGCTGGAGTACTAATTAGTATTAGACCAATAGCTGCGGGGCTAACAAATTCGAGTTATTCGATCAACAATCCATCTATCGGTCTTGATAAAGATGGCGGGGCTGGGTTATGAGGCTTAATTATATTTACTCTACTTTGTATTAGTAGTTATTAGGAGGAGATAAAATGTTAACTTCTATAGATCTCCGCCTTTACTAGAGCAAGTAGCCTAGAAATCTAGATATATCTAGTCAGGGAAGGATTTTTTACCTCCAATTTCCACTTGATCAATACACGCATTATTCCGTCCAAGAAACAGCTATTAGACTCGTTCAATAGCTTTAGACCGTTTCGACGTATCGTGCAAACTCCCTAGGATCTTTTGTTAAATAATCGAATTTGCGACATAGTTGGAGACCAACCTACCAGTCGGTAACAGCCTCACGCCACAATTTCAACTCATGGTCCCTTGTTGCGGCGAAGAAATCTACGAAATCTTGGTCCAATATCTCCCTCGCGACACTACCCTTAGCACGAAACCTCTCAAGTGCTTCGTCGAGGCTCTTTGGTAGGCGCGCAGCTTTGTCTTCCGGACTCCGAGAACCCGCGGGAGGGATCGAGATCTCCATTTTCCGCTTCACGCCTCGCCACCCGGCAGCGACGATCGCGTTAAGGGCATAATGGGGATGCAGATCCGCCCCCGGTAGCCGCACCTCGAAGCGTGTGGCTCCGGGCTTGCATACGGGTGCCGTTATAACTCGGATGGACGCCAACCGGTGTTCAAGACCCCAGCTAACGTCGACAGGAGCCCAGTAATTCTCGATGAGACGCTTATACGAGTTGACAGTTGGGGCAAACATGGGCATGATGTCTGGGAGCGCGTCGAGGAGCCCCGCAAGAAAGTGACGGCCAAGGTCAGAAAGGTAGGCGATATCCCTCCATTGAGGATTGAGATCGGGAGAGTCGCGAGCAAATAAGTTCTTGCCTTCCAGGTCGGTGAGGGAAACATGGATGTGGCCGGAACTGCCCGGGACACCATATATCGGCTTCGCCATAAAGCATGGCGTGATATTATATTTGATGCCGGTTGCCTTTGAAAGAAGTCTGACACCAATGCTGTTAGTTCTGAACGACAGTTTCGAGTAAAGGAAGGATTATTTTCGAAGTTACTGACTTGAAAAGGGCTACTTTGTCGGCCATCTCATCTACTTCGCTGACCTTTATAGCCTGTGAACTCGAGGGACACAGTAGTCAGCGGGCCGTAAGAAAGGATATTATTACAGGACACCTACAGCTTCGTAAACTCCAGGGCCACTCTCCGTATGCCAGCTCTCCACTCTACAGTTCATATCCTCGCTGTAGTCGAACAGCTGGTGGAAATAGTCCTTATTAGCAACAGGACGTGTCATACTATAGGCGAACATCCCAGATGTGAGTGGGCGTAATGCTTTCTGAGAGTTCTTGGTGAGAAATGCTGCTATATCGTGGTTAGACCTGTCGCCCTCGCTGTAGCCGTCCGCGGTTGGCGTTTGGAAATTCATAAACTCGAGCTCAACTATAGAGGCAATTTAGTTAGATAAGAAATATCAAGCAGAAATTTGCGCAACCTGCGCTTTAGGTCCAAGGGAGGGTGGGTTACCTCCTGCCATCGCTTTGTATCCCTCCTCTGCTAGGCTAGTGCACAAAGATCTCATCATGCTGCGGCCGCAGGCGGAGACGGGTTTTCCGTTGCTGAGGAATCTAATAAGAAAAAAAGGTATGTTGTCTTCAAAAGGTAGCCTCCGAAAGGACTTTAGATCTGGGACGGCCATAAAGTCACAGTATCCTTCTTGCGCGCTGGTGATGCATGTGTCACTCGAATACAATTCGTCGTGCATATCCCAGCCAAACACGGCGGAGCTCATCGCGAATCCGCTGGCAATACTGACGAGGAATTTCTCTTTCGACATGACCTTCCCACGAAGAACGCCGTCGCTATCGAGCCCAGCAACCTTCACCTTGTGATCGTTAGCTAGGAGGGTGGCAATGTTTTCCGGGGTCATTATCGTCGCTCCCCGGGCGTCGCCGAGAGCTCCATTAATGACTCGGCCGGAGCCGTTCAACGTAGGAGCCTCAATCATGGTATATGAGGAGCGAAAACAACAACTGTTAGGCCAAAGGGCTGTCGGATTAAATTCCAAAGAAATAGCGAAGAGAGTCGAGGTCTGTCACTGACTTAGTTGTCAGTGCTAGTGTGGATAGGTTGGTAAATGAAATAAATCCTCATTCAGTCATATTGAGGACTGTTCGCCTCGATTGCGGGAGAAATTCAGTTATAGTCAAATTCGTGCTCTGAAGCCCTCCCCGCGACCCACTCATCGTAGCCCTTAGGCTAGGAAGGATAAACGCATTCGTAAAGAGGGACTGGTTCGAATCGGTTCGAATCGCGGGCTGACCAGGAACTGGGCGCTCATAGGCGCTGTTCCATCCGCATTAGGACAAGACGATTTGAATAGGAGGGGGCGTGGACTAGAGGCGGTATGAGGGGGGGTGCGCGGCAAGCCTAGACCGCGCCGCGAACTGTAACGGCGCTCTCTTGCAGTGTGGTGTGTGTAGGGGTTAGCGCGATTCCGATTGCCATTGTCAACGCACAATGGGAGTACTGTATACCGATGGCTACGCTATCTATCTATTTGCCCAAACAAATAGATTTCAGCTATCTTGGCTCGATTATGTCGTCATGACCCGAGAGGACGTGTTCATGCGCTTCTTTGTGAGGATCCCACTACAAGATAACCGCCCACGCGCGTATCTTTTCCGCGTAATTCAGGCCAAGCTTTATCTAATCTACGGCGGGCAAGCCTCAAGGGAATCACCGGTCCTGCGCAGGTCTTAACGTTCCGAATTGCGAACCGCGGCGTCCCAGAGAGCAAGTTTGAAGTCGATCATTGGGTGGAACATCGCGCAATTGCACGAAGATGTAGAAAGCTTATCTCTGTCCTTTGGGTCCCCGTCAAGACTCCCAAGGTGTAGTGTTTGCTTTCCATGGATCTTTCTACCAGACTTTTCATCGTTCTCGCGGCTATCTCTCCACTCTCCTACTACTCCGCAGACCCTTGGGACTACGAGAAGATGAGTCCGGGTGAGACCCGAAGAGGTGCAGCCCCAACCCAGTCGGAAATCAGGATCCCTTACCTCTTGTCGAGGAGGAGCTTCTCAATGAAGTAAGGATATTCCGAGCTACTTGGTGGCGAGAAACAAACCTCGTCTTGATACTGCAGTGAGCGCGAGCTATTCCCTGCCATGCTGGACATTCGTATATATGTAAAACGACCCGTGCCGCTAGAAATGTCCTCAGCAGTGGAGCTGAGGGCGCCCTTTACCCTACAAGTCCTGTGCCACCCATGCCTTCTCTTTTAATATTTGTATTCCGTAAGACTTATGCATAAAGAAATAGATCACCTGGGAATCCAGGGTTCATTTCCCTGCCAAATGAGACAAGCCTCTTTCTGATGTTTAGGAGCGCGGTCTAAAAAGAGTATGGTACGTGGGCCGCATGGCAGGAACACAGGATCTTAGCCACCGCAGCTCCGGGATGGGTAGTCCGCAGAATAAAAGGGGTTCTAAGTTGGAGATAAACTATCAATGATATCTTTATTGTGCACATTCATGCATCTCAGCTGCTTCGTGCAGGAGTACTACGTAATTAACAAACATGACCACCTCTCTGAAGTGTAGTTATGTAGCATCTATGGTGGGGATAGATGATGTGGTAAGGGTAATCGAATGAGAGAGTTTGGAGGATTGCTGGCAGTGGTCTCCGAATCTGTAGCTAGACATGGTCTGGGGGTGATGGTAATGCCTAGGGGTGGTTTGTGGATGTGTAAGTCGAAACCCAATCCCCAGGGACGACGAGGTCAAATTATTATTCTATTTCCAGCCGTATTTACGTAGTGACCGTGGTTAAACCTTCATCTATCTTCTTGAATCAAAAAGAGTTGACGGTGTCGTGGTTTTGGCGCGCGCGGACGGTGACCTCGAAGTCTGGTAGGGAATGGGATAAGCCCAAACTCTTCGGCTCGGGTGTAGGAGCTCGCGTGACTTTGCTGGAATCTTCCTCTGCGGGGACCTCCAGCCGTTTGGCTGACTTCCTCCCCCGGCTATATCGGGTAGATGAGGGGCATCGAGGCCTTGAAGGAGACGGACTGCTAGATGAATCTAACCCGGCGGCGGTAGTGGATACCCGAGGATGGCAACAAGCGCTAGTACCATACCTTAGTTGGAGTCTATACAGTCACATTACTTTAATTTCGACCTGGTCGCCGGGGGCTGATAATGCAAGGGTTCAGTACAAAGGTACAGCTAGTAATCTCGGCACGGTGGCGCTCCGGCATTCAATAAATAGTAGTGGCCATCTCCGAAGTTGGATTGTTGAGACGAACTTGAGAGAGAGTCTTTGGAATAGCAGTATCAGTTCACAAACGTCATTCGTGAACTAGCTATATTTCTCGAGGTTGAATATCGCCAACAGACCATGGATGTATGTGCGGGCAAACTCTTTAAGAAGTACGTATTATTTACAAGAGCTCAGAAGGGGGGGTTAGGCTTACCAGTAGTCTAGTCCTATCGAACCGAGCCTTCGGGACTTCCAACCGGCTACCCCACAACCAAAGACTCTTCAAGCCTGCTAATCACCGCGGGGGAATTGTAATCGAAACGTGAAGATGCTCGCGAACCCACCACCTCCTTCATCTTAGAACAGACGTATATTACCACGCTAAACCCTACTCGGCGGCTTAACGATGCTCTTGAGGCTAACCGAGCTTATTAGAGCTATCAATACCTCTTGCTGATTCCTGGTCCCGCTCGTATTTTCCATCCCCGCATTATCGAACTGATTAGGGATAGTAACTGCTAGGCTGGCAGGTATAAATCATCCAGGTAAGATGACATCAGGTCTCCAGTGCCACTGGGCACGTCCAATTAAATTTAAAACCGCCATCGCGGTCTCGGACTCTTAGCGTGGATTCAGGGAAGCCAATCAGCAGACTAAATCCAGCGACGTACCCTTTGCAGAACTAAGTGGGACTGGGCATAACACTATTTTGTCGATCTGAGAGGGGTAGTAACTTCACAGGAAGGTGGAGAAGACTAGTTTTATCATGGCATACCGGCGTCCACACCCTTTAGTACTATCTTTCCAACTTGGAAAGAGTGGCATGTGGGCAAAAAGCGGCGAAATCGGGAAAGATGGTAGTAGGAAGCTAAGATAAGAGGGACCGCCATGGCGGTCCCTGAATTGATATAGCAACTGCCACTGCTGATGATCCGTTGTTCCGACTTCATGTCCTTCGAAGCAGCCCTTTGATCCTAACTAACCCCCCCGGAAGTTTAAAGCTTCGCACATCCACACGCAGCCGCATACAGAGATAAACATCTGTGCGTGCAAAATACACCTCCCTCTCTAATTCCGCCGCGATAAGTCGCGGCTCCGCGAGCATATAATAACCAGCCTATCCCCCGTCCAACATAACAGAATACGAGCCCATCGTGAAATCTAGATCGCCTCCGACAATAGGTGCTAGGTCGAAAATTCTTCTCCTTTCCCTACGAATTCGAATCGGAATGTATACAGGCCTATCGATAGGTCATTGATACGCTCAATTTTACTATCATCTATCACTTTTCCTTCACGTCGTTCACCCCCAAAGCCCGGTTTACAATGGCGGATTCAACCCACCACAATGTTCCGGGGACCATCCGTCTCGTCGACGAAGGTTCCCAAGGCGAGAGCGGCGGTGGCCAAATCGTTCTTCAGCCGCACCCCAGCGCTGACCCCGAAGACCCGCTCAACTGGAGCAAGGGGCGGAAGCTTCGTGCTATCGGCATGGTTTACGTCTATGTCCTTGGCATCGGTCTCGCCACAACCGTCCAGTACTCAATCCTCACCGAAATTGCAGAGGCCCAAGACTTGACAGTGGGCAATCTCAATCTCGGAACGGGTCTCATGTTCCTCTTCCTCGGTTGGGCTTGTCTTATTTGGCAACCTATCGCTATGACCTACGGTCGCCGTGGAGTGTACATTGCGTCGGCCCTTCTTAGCATCATCCCCATGGTTTGGGCTCCGTACTCAAAGGGCGCAGGTCAATGGTATGCTCATCGAATCCTCCTCGGAATTTTTGCTGCCCCCGTTGAGGCCCTGCCCGAAGTGTCAGTCCCCGATCTATTCTTCGCCCACGAACGAGGATCATTCATGGCCCTCTACGCCTTCATCCTCTTCGGATCAAATTTCCTTGCTCCATTACTCGCCGGATTTATCAACGACGGTGTTGGCTGGAAATGGACTATGCACTTCGGTTCTATTGTCCTAGGCGTGACCGCCGTAATTTTGTTTTTCTTCCTCGAGGATACCATCTATTTCAGAAACACTACGGAGGGCGGGTCTGAATCGGAGAATGACAATGATAACGAGAAAGCCTCTGGCAGCCAGACTGAGATGGCCGTCGCAGCTTCTTATCCTCCGCCAAGGACGTATAGAGAGAAGCTCAACCTTGTCCTCAGGCTCCCCGGTCGACCTACAGCCAAGCAAACCATTGGAAAATCCTGGCGCGCCCTTTGCATTATTGTTTTCTTCCCCAACATTTTCTGGGCCGGCCTGCTCTATGGCACCAACCTATCATGGTACAACGTCATGAACGCAACCATGTCGAGCATTCTGCACGGCGAGCCGTACAATTTCGCCCCTCGGATGGTGGGGGTGGCTTATGCTTCGCCTCTTCTGGCAGCGGCGGGCTCCTCGTTCTGGTCCGGTTGGTTCGCAGACTCTATGGCTGTTCGACTCGCACGGCGAAACAATGGTATTCGAGAACCTGAACAACGACTCTGGGTCCTCCTCCTCTCCGGCCTTTTCTCCGCTGGCGGCCTCGTTCTTTGGGGCGTCGGCGCCAGTCGCAATGTACATTTCATGGGCTTGATTATCGGCCTCTTCTTCGTCACCTTCGGAGTCGTTACCAGTAGCTCGGTCGCTCTCGCCTACACCGTGGACTGCTTCAAGGAGATCACGGGAGAGTCTATGATTGCAGTCATCATTGTCCGCAACACGCTGAGCTTTGCGTTTAATTACGCCATCAACCCGTGGATTGATAGCCTTGGCCTGCAAAATTGCTTTGTTTCCGTGTCTCTGATTGCATTGGTTTGCACTTTTTCCTTTTTGCCGATGGTATATGTGGGCAAAAGGTTGAGAAAATTTTCGGCAGCGAAGTACTGGGAATATATCGCCGAGGACAAGAACTACCCGTCCTCGCACTGAAAAATCCTTTGGGCGATTCGGTGCTTGCTGTGCCAAATATTTATTCTTCTTTCTTATTTAGTCACTGCCACTATTGGTAGTCCTGTTGTATCCAAGCAAATGTCTCGTCATTCGATGCCATGCTCTTCTTCGCTATAATCTATACGACGGCTCAGAATCCCGACATAATAGCTAAAATATAAACCAAAGGATTCATTTTCACAAAAAAAAGTCCTATCATTATTAACAAACTTGAACACACTAAGCAAAGCTAAAACTATAGAGTCCAGTAATGCGGGAACAATGTCGCCCAGGCAGTACTAGTCCTCTTGATATATTATCAAGCACATTCGCCACAAAAAGACTGAACATTCAGGCGTAACGTAACGAGAAAAAAAAATATTTAAAAGAGTCCGAACGTTAAGATTATCGCAACCAAAATTAGACTAATCAACCTTTCTTAGGCAAATGATGTCCAGATCCGATGCTCCTGCATCAACTGACAAATAGACCAAGGACTAGGATTTGGAGTAGCCCACAATTTCTCTAACAAAAGGGCAGTCTGGCGGATATTACCGACACCCAGAACTGAAAACATAACTTCCAATCGATTTTGGAGGTATTGGCGTTGCTCCAAACTCTCAACACAAGAGCCAATAACGGCTATGGGCCAGCACAAGCTCGTATTGACGCGGGCTGTGGATGGAAGCTCGGAGAGGTATTCGAGTCCCTTGACGACGGCGCCTTTGACGGCGGAAGAGTGAGAAGACACCGACTCCGAGGCGGATAGGGGGCTTAAGGTCGTATAGAGATAAACAAGCATTGCCTGTTGGAAAATTCGCCCCGCTAGCGCAGTTTCGAGGCGTACCGTCGCGCGAGGTGCCCATGATTGAATCTTGCCTTGGACACTCGCGAAGTTCATCAAGTCGTCTACACCAAGTGGACGACGCGCCCCTTCCTCGGAAAGGAACCTTCGCCCGATGTTGAATACAGATGGTATCAGCAGGAGTAGCTCCAGCCAACAGCCGCATAAACAACCGATATATGTACTCGATTCTAATGTGCTTGAGTGTTCCTCGAAATCCTCAGCAAGGAGGAGCTGAGGCCCGACACGGCAGTCGATCGATATTATGCTCACCGCAGCTGTATAAATATAATACTCGATGAGGAAGTCGCGGAGGCTTTTGGACAGTTTGGAGTGCTGGCTCGACAGTACTGCCTTGAGCAGCCAGCGCGCGGCCATCAAATGGTTAAAAATCGATCCGTCGTTATCCCCTTTCACCGTCTGTTGCGACGCGACAAGATTAGCAAGATTTCAGCAATGGGATTCAATGCGCGGGACACTAGTGTTCTTTCCGGGAGAAGTACTTACCTCGACAAAACACATAATCAGCGCGCCAACAGCTAGCGGCAGAGCGTCTTGAGTACCCACATCATAGGTAGACATGCCTTGCTGGAATAACGTGATGGATTGGCTGTAATGTCCAGAGGCCAAGGGGTCTGCATCTAGAATCTTCTTCGCGACGGCGCGATGGACAGCACTTTGGGTCAGGATCAGGTGCAGGACGAGATCGCTTCCAAATGCAAGAGGTATGAACTGGACCACAAATGGTTCGTCTACCCCCGACCCGTTGTCCATACATTTTGTCGTTACTGCTAGGTAATGGCTGAGCAGGTCGAGCGAGCCGGACGCCAAACCGGGTAGAAGGCTCAGGCTCCTAGGGATAACTTCCACGTCTAGTTCCTCGTTGCTGATGGGCATATGTGTATTCGAATTCACAAGGGTGCCGAACTCATTTAGGGGGGAGGATGTTGCCGGCTGTCCATTGTCGAAGGAACAGTCGAGGAGATCGAGTGAGGGAAGAATATACGACGGGTCGATTATGGTGGGGTCGTGTACCGCCGAGCCAGGGGGCAACGGAGACGGACCAGGATCGATAATGGCCAGGATATCATGGCCTGTTGATGAGGAGCTGGTGCTTCCCCCAGGAGAATGAGCAGAGCCTGGTGATTCGGACGCAGAGGGAGTATTAGGCGATACGTGAATTGCATCATCGAGAAGTTCGATCAACTGGTCGGCGGGGTTCTTTTCCGTCATTCGCGTTTCCGATGCATTTGGAACACTAGCAGCCGGCTTCGTTGTCGATCCCCGTCGACCAGCAGCGCGCCTCGGCGCCGTGATATCATCCGGATGCGGCCAGGAGCATTCCAGTCTATTCCTCTCACAACCCCGACACATCGGCTTTCGTTCATCGCACTTCTTCTTGCGCCGTCGGCACGTCAGGCACCCCGTGCGAACTCGGAGAATGGGCATCGGCCGTTTTCTCTGGGAAGGGGTCGACATTGGTTCGGGGGCAGGATTGATGTTTGGTAGGTTTCCAAGCATGTAATTTGCCGAAAATATCGGTGATTGCAGCATCTTGTTGGAAACTGGAAAGTACAATCGGATAGACGACGTTTTGGATTGACTACACAAAACAGGGCTGGAATATGATTCTACTTGGAAGGATTGAAACGGGCAGAGCTTGAAGAGCTATTCGAAGGACCGCTTCGCAGGGAAGCTTTGGCCTTTCCCCCGCATTTTCCAAGGAATCACTAAAAATCACTAGCCAGATCTGGGAGAACGAGGCATTGATGATAGTGGCTAGCGTGGGCTCTGACCCACCAAACTCATGCCGAGAGCCAGGAAGCCGGGGACTTGGGGCGAGATAGAATCACAGCGGCCGGGATCAGGGGCGTCTGACTGCATAATCTCCTCCCAAGAGTCCTGGCTCGCTGACCTTACTTATCAGATGGGCTCCATTCGTCCAGTGAACTGTGAGCCAATTCCCTCTTGGAGGTTTAACGTATCGGTATTCTAGTCTTGCCCAACGGCGTCCGATATTCCCTTCAACCCTTTTCGCCCACCGGTTGGGGGATTCGTATTAACTACCCCACGTTTGTAGCGACTCTGTGGTTGACACTCTCAGAAGAGCTCTCACTTCTCTTATAAATTTAGAGATGATTCTCGAGACTTCTTATCTGCCCCCCTCTTCTAGGATAGTATACCATTATCAAGATATTTATAGTTCTTCAGCTGTTCGAGTCGCGCCATACTTTTTGAGCTACAGTTCGCTGCCGAAGATAAAGGTTAGCCAGGGTACCCATTATTAGTCTGAACGAAGATCCTCTTTTTTCATTTTTTTTTTAATTTTTTTTTTATTATCATTATTATTATTCCAAGAAAGGAAGGCAGAGACTCACCTCAGTGGAACAGCGCAAATAAACGCCATTGGTCAATGGTGACGACCTCATGCAGTAGTGCCCCCATACTAGTTAGATTAGCTTGAGTGGAGAGATACGGTGACATTTATCACTCCGAATCGGCGCGCTCTTGAGCCCCGCTCCTAGCCTAGCTCAGAGGAGTGGCGTAATCGTCCAATAGTCCCTCTCCTAGCTTGACCGAAACCGATGATCCGCGTGGCCATGCGTTGCGTGAGCGGAAATAGATTTGATTGGCGTGGTTTCGGCTCGGCGGGTGGGTCTTCTCAAACTTGACCCTGGTCCCGGCTTATCTTTTCCAATCCTCTCCACCGTCCTCCTCGTCCACGTGAGCATTGGCGGAGCGGTTTTCGTCGTATCGCGACTCACGGGCGCGTTTGGATGCCGGACTGCCCTTGAACTACAACCCAAAAATATATGCGGGGTGGCCAGCCACTTAAGTGTTGGTGAATTTGAACCCCTACGTAGGAAGAGTAAATCGACGTCTCGTCTGGGATCAGCTGAAAGTAGAGTGCCTCCGCCATGCCCATCTTCCACATCGCTTTGCTGGAATGCGACACGCCAATACAGCCAATCAAGGAGAGATATGGCACCTACGGAAACCTGTTCAAGATTATTCTGAACCGAGCATTGGCAGACACCCGGCACGATATCGAACCCATATTTACTAGTTATGATGTTGTGGGTGCCCGCGAGTATCCGGATTTGGAAGAAATCGACGCCATTCTCTTGACCGGGAGCAGTTTGTCTACCATTTGCAGTTGACGTCAAAAATATTTCACGTTGCTAATATTTCTCTCAAGAGTACGATGCACATGCCGATATCGATTGGATTAACCAACTGGTTGACTTTGTCCGCAAAGTATATACCACTTCGGATAAGCCCTTAGTCGGAATTTGTTTTGGACATCAGATTCTAGGACGCGCTTTAGAAGCCAAGGTTGGCCGAAATCCTGAAGGATGGGAAGTGGCCGTTAGTAAGATTAGTCTTACTGACAAAGGCCGCAAGATATTTGGGGGAGATTCCTTGGTAAGTCATATGTATACCTTGGCTGACGAGTATTTCATACTGACAGTCCGTTCCCTGGAACTCGTAGGACCTTCACCAGATGCACCAGGATGCAGTTTTGACAGTGCCAGAAGGACTGGAGAATATAGGATTTAGTAACCGTTGTCAGGTTCAGGGCCTTTACAAACCAAAGCGTGCCTTCACTCTGCAAGCCCATCCCGAATTCGACCAACTGGTCATGGAGAACCTACTCAACTCGAGGCATCAAATGGGCATATTCAATGATGTGGTCTTTCAAGAAGCTTCGACGAGGTGTAATAATGCCCACGATGGGTTACGCGTAGCAGGTGCTATATGGAAGTTTCTACTAGAGTCCTAAGATCGTGGATAGCATTAGACGGGAATGTGAAGACGCTCACATACAGATACACTTTGATCATAAATTTCTTTGACCGATAATGTTTTCTTTCTTTTTTTTTCCCCCCCCTCTGTAAGGTCTAATAATCGCTCGAGCCTGGAGTGCGGAACGAGAAGTAAAGTCATTAGATGGATCTATTGCTGAGAGACTCATGTTGTTCATGAGTCACGGCTCTCATCGGATTATTTTGCAGGTCGTGGAAACGAAACGGACCACCTCGGCTCTGCACAATCAGTTCCGTCTCTTGGCTACTTGGTCACCAGCGGTATGCACTGAGGGCTGGGCTGTAGTTCAGAGTCATCTAGGACACTTAGGAATTGGTGTTTGTCGGGGCGGTCCGCGCGGCTATCGAAACACAGAAGCTCATATATCATCCCGCTATGCGCACGTGGCTAGAGGCTCAATTAAGCACAAGCGGTAAGACTCGCTCGTTCTTCGGTTCTTCGCAGGGCATGCTCCTCCTGAGGTAGACTGCATGACATCCCGCACAGAGCTGCTCTCCGTGACTCCTTGACTCTTCATCTCGACACCACCCCTCAGCCAACTGTCCTCTAAGCCGGGCACTATCTACCTTTGTTCCTCATCTTCTACCAAATCCATTCCCGTCGGAGCTAGTGAATATTCACAATGGCGACCAACATTATTCGTACCGTTTCCCCTTCCACAAATCAGGTTGTCTGCGAAACTCCAGAGACTCGATGGGATGAAGCGAGTTCCATCCTCAGAGCGTCCCAGGAGGCTTTTGTATCTTTCAGTTCTCTTTCCCACCAAGCCCGGAAAGATGTTGTTGTCCGAGCTTTGCAGCTCTTCCAAGAGCGCAAGATAGTTCTAGGCAAAGAGCTAACCTTGCAAATGGGGAGGCCGATTGCGTACAGCCACAAAGAGATTGAAACTATGCAGAAACGTGCCGATTATCTACTGGAGACTGCCGAGGAGGCGCTCAAGAGCATCCCAGGAAAACCAGAGAACGGATTTCAGAGATGGGTCAAAAAGGTTCCTGTTGGACCGATTCTTATCGTGTTTGCCTGGAACGTGAGTCCGTCAGTCCTGCCCCCGGAGACTTTTGTCTTTTCTGATCTCGTCTCTAGTTCCCGTATCTGATCTTGGTCAACGCCCTCATCCCTGCTTTGCTTGCGGGGAACACTGTCATTCTCAAGCCGTCTCCTCAGACCCCGCTCGTTGCACAGCGAGTGTGCGAGATCTTTGTCGAGGCTGGACTCCCACCCAATGTTCTCCTGATCATCCAGTCGGGCGATTCGGAAATGGTAAAAAGGCTAGTTCAGGCCCCAGAGATTCAAGGTGTCAGCTTTACTGGATCCACCGCTGGTGGACTCGCCATTCGCGAAGCCGCTGCTGGGAGAACTATTCCGCTAAACCTTGAACTTGGTGGAAACGACCCGGCATATGTTCGAGCGGATGCCGATCTCCAATATGTGGCCGCACAGCTCGTCGATGGTGCTGTCTTTAACTCCGGCCAAAGCTGTTGTTCGGTGGAGAGGATATATGTTCATTCCCAGGTGCATGACAAGTTTGTTGAGGAGCTTCAGAAGGACCTAGAACAGTACGTGCCGTGAAGAGGAGTGTTTCCTCCTTACCCCAGGCCCAACAGAGGATTCACATGACTTGATACAGGTACAAACTGGGAGATCCCCTTGATTCCACTACCAATGTTGGTCCGGTCATCTCCAAGGCTGCTCTGGAGGCCATTAATGCTCAGATACAAGACGCTCTTGCAAGAGGCGCCATCGACGCAACACCGGAGAACGTGACCTTCAAAAACCCTCCAGTCGAAGGCAATTATATTGCTCCACGCATCCTCATCAACACGACACACGACATGGCCGTCATGCGAGAGGAAACTTTCGGCCCAGTCATTCCCGTCTACAAGGTCTCTAGTGATGACGAAGCCATTAAGTTGATGAACGATACACAATACGGCCTGACGGCTAGTGTCTGGACGAAGGACATCCAAAGAGCACACGAACTCATCGACCGGCTTGAGTCTGGCACCGTGTTTGTCAATCGCTGCGATTATCCAAACCCAGTAAGTCCATCTAGGATCTAACCGCGGGCAGTCATGTAACGAGGTTAATAATCTCTTCCAATTAACACGGCTCCAGGACTTGGCATGGACAGGATGGAAGATGTCTGGGCTGGGCTGCACTCTTGGACCGCAAGCCTTCAATTTTTTTGTTAAGCTCAAGAGCTATCACATCAAGGAGACTCAGACCTCATAGTTGAGCACTTGCGGGTGGGCTAAATTGCCTCTCGCTGACGATGTCAATACTAAAACTAATTCAATTTCATTTTCCTCTCTATTATTTTGTATTGTCTTTAAGCAACCCCTACGAAACCCAGGCTTCCAATGGTAAAGTAACCGATATGGCTTAGCTAAGTAATTGTATTGCAGATCTGGTCGTCATTTTACAGTCTCTACTGGCACAACTTTTTGGAGCGAACAGCAAGAGATTGATGGGGGGATTCTGGTTACAGGACCACTTTGACCGTGTCCAGTGATGGAGCTTGGGTGTCACGCCAGGTTTGATTTCAGCCGCTGTCTCTGGGAGGGCGTCTCACTCGGAGACGCTCTCTCTATGGATACTGTTGCCGCTTGTCCAAAAAGGGGAATGCTACTCGGCCGATATGTGGAGATTCACCCTGAGCCCCGTCGGGGCTTGGCGGTCGCGAAGCGCGAGGGTCGGGCCAATAGTATCCAAGAGCGCCATGCGCTACAGATGGAATAAGAGAATGATCTAAGAAGTCTTTCGTTTGCAAAGTCTCGCGCTCCGAGCGCTCCCCGTGCCAGAGTAGAGTGACGTCCCAAACACCACTATTTCAGGTGGGTCTTCTTTGCCGTACAGTAATTTATATACCGAAACACTCGAGCACATCATAGAACACACTCCTGCAAACGCATAATCACCATTACTTTCGAGTTAAGACCCAATCCATATCAACCATGCCCGGAAGACTTGCAGGAAAGAATGCCATAGTTACTGGCGCTGCTGGGTAAGTGATCGCCCTGATGTCTCGTTATATTCTCTAAATACGGGGCAACCACACATGAACAGATACAGCTAACTCGACGATCAAGGGGTGTTGGGCTCGAGGCCACAATCCTCATGGTCCGAGAAGGGGCGTCAGTTCTCATGGCTGATATCAACCCCTCTGCACTGGATAAGGCCATCGCCAAAGTTCAGGCGGTTGTTCCTAACCGAGAAGGCCGACTAGAAACCAAGGTTGTGGATGTTTCCAAGGAGTCAGACGTTGAGGCCGCTGTGAACCACCTCGACTCTTGGGGAGGGGTCGATGTCATGTTTAACAATGCCGGTATTATGCACCACCGGGATGGCGACGCAGAGGAGTGTTCTGAAGATACGTGGGATCTCACAATGAATATCAATGTCAAGGGAGTGTGGTACGGGTCCAAACACGCAGTCCGGTCGCTCAGGAAGCACGGAAAGAAAAACGGAAGCATTATCAACACGGCTAGTGTGGTAGCTCTCGTCGGATCTGCTACGCCTCAGCTCGCATATACCACGAGCAAAGGCGCTGTCCTTGCCATGACTCGCGAATTGGCTATTGTTCACGCACGAGAAGGGTATCGATTCAATTCTCTGTGTCCAGCACCCCTCAAGTACGTTTCTGTTCCACACTCCTTGATATATCGGCGGTATCAGCCATATTTGTAACTTCCACGTTGACCGATGAGAGGCGATTCTAATTCATTGCTAGCACACCACTTCTCCAATCATTCCTGGGAGACGACAAGGAGAAACGCTTCCGTCGCGAGGTTCACTTCCCCACTGGCCGCTTTGGGGAGGCTATTGAGCAGGCCCAGGCCGTCGTGTTTCTTGCTAGCGACGAGAGCAGTTTTGTCAATGCGACCGACTTCGTGGTGGATGGCGGCTTAACGAAGGCGTATGTGACGCCAGAGGGCCCACCGACTGTCGCCCCGGAGAACTCTAGTCACTAGATCGTAATTAGATGGCTTGAATCGATTAATTTTACCATGTGCATGATGGACAACATCTTGAAACTAAGTCACTCTTTAGTTCTAGACTGGTTGCCTAACTTAAGAATAATAAATGCACAGGAATGCGTTCGGCGGCAGTCTTGGGAGGTCAAGATCGGATGTCGGGGTAATGTGCTCTAGTATATTTCCACGCCGGGGCTTGCATTCACGGCTGTAATATGTGTAACATCGGCTTCCCGACGGACATGACTGTATCTCTCTTTCTCTTTTATATAAATGTCTACTCCTGATCACCCTTAAGCTTAGAGGCGATTAGCTGTGACAGAGGTGTGACGATATGAGCAGGACAACCTATTGATATCGCCGACTGGAGCTCTCTTAGGTCCTCCTCTCTGCCAGAACAGTGCAGGATAAGCTTTTCCACAACAGACGACACGAACATAGCCCTCCGCGGATCCGCTGACAATCTCGCTAGAAGACCTTTTAGTTCAGTACAAAATGACGTCAGCACCGACTCTTCGGGTCGCCGCCTCGCGAGGTTCCCAAACGCCGCTTCAGCGTCCGAGTCTACTGTACCGGTCAGGTCAGGGACACCAAGGCTTGCTCCTGCCCGTAAGAAGGCGTCCAAGGTCCTAAGGTAGTCCTCGAAACACTCCTCTCCGAGGAACTTAGACAGGGATATGTCCAGGAAGTGCGAGAAGACGGTGCGCGCCCCTACGCGATCTAGGAGAGGCATGTTTGGGTTGGCACCGTACGACATTAAGCGGTCGAAGGTAGCGTCTTTGAGGGAATTATTCCATCGTAAAGCGGGAAACATGCAGGGCCCCGACAGCATATTGAAGACAGACATAGTGCTCCGCGCAAAGATAACCCATGGTGATGCTGCCTCAGATACGCCTGGAGTGCCGGGCTGCCGTGGTAGCACGTTAGGATCCTCGCCACGCTGGAGGAGAATATCGAGCACCCCTGGCACGGGCGGGGGACTCTTACCACTGCTACGGGACATAGGGGTGAGCGCGGCGAACAACGGCGACTCGTCGAACACGTCGAAGAAGTCAGGCTGCTCATGAATCTTCTTGGAGAGGTAGGGCGCTAACTCATGTCTAAGTAGCTCCTCGCGGAAGAGTAGCCTCGCGTCGCAATTTTGAGAATTAATCCCTCTGATGGTGACGTGGCCGAGGCTCAACATGGTCTGGAGGGCGGCCTCATACTCGTCCAGGAGCTCCTCTGTCTGCCGCTGCTGGCGAGAGCCGAGTTGGTCCGTCTGTTTTAGCGCTTCCGATGCGTATACTAAAGCCTGGTTCAGATGCGCGATGAATGGGCCGGTGTTCTGCCCCCGCCCCTGCCTCATGATGCCAGCCACGAGCGAGTGGTCCTGGCGTGTGGTTCTGAGGAAGCCAAGATATGCCGTGGCGATGGAGAGAAAGCCGTTGTAGTCCGCCGGAAGCTTGCTGCGGAGGTACTCCCCTACATCCTTGGTCAAGACGAAGTCCTTTACGGTTCTATGAAGAAATTCGACCCGGTTGTTTACGAGCCTGAGCAGGCCCTTTGTCTTCTCCTTGATGCTGCGAATGATCTGCTCTCTACGCACGGAAATTCCGCCAGGCGCTTCTATCGCTGCTAGACCGCGAGAAACGGGACCATGGCTCTCAAATTCTTTCTCCAGCTGCCAATAGATGTCGACGTGGAGCGGCTCGAGCGCGTGGACCGCGGCCTGCAGGACGCCCGCCATCTTAGAATGGTCGGTCGGGTTCACGCTTTCCAGCATATGTTGGAACAGCTGGTCTAGATCCGACGGTAGTTGACTGAAACGTCTGTTCAAGTCTCTGATTCTCTCGCCATTGGAGAGGCCCTCCCGCAACGACCGCGTCACGAAGAAAGCCCAGAGAAATACACCGTTGGCCTGGGCCACGATCCGATCCACGAGCTCAGCTTTCTCCAGGGTAACCTCCTCGGACATCTCGGCAGTCCATCGGGCGTCGGCCTGAAGCTGGTCACTCACAAACTTCCGTATATCGTTCCGCGTCAGCTCATGAATATCTAGGCTCTCCTGGCTGTTATGGCCGAAGTTCCTCTCAAACACGGGCCACTGACGGCTGGATAGGCATATTTTGATACGGGGAGAGCTGGCGATGTCACGGAGAACCTCACAAAGCTCTTCGTGATTGCTGTCATACTCGTCAAGCCCGTCGATGAAGAAGCACATTCTTAACGACACATGGTCAGCCGTCGCCAAGGCTCGCAGCGCGGCGCCTAGCTCGGAAACAGACCATGGCTCGGCGGCAATCTGCCACTGTCCAGCCCTGGCAGCTGCCCATCGGTGGGGGCTAACCAGGGAGACCACGTGCGGGGATCCGCGAAGGAGGTCGAAGAGCAGAGATTGGAGGAGCCCCTGCCAAGATTTCTGGATTGGTGTGCCTGCGATCCAGAAGAAGTGCGCCGCAATAGCCAGCGTGTCGGATGACCCGGCCCAGCTCTCTAGCAACTCTCTCGTCCGGGGATGCTTGGAGATAAATTTCATAAATGTGGATTTGCCGGACCCTGGTTTACCCGAGATCCAGAACGTCCCGCTTCCAGAAAGGAGCCAATCCGAGAGTCGCGAGTCAAAGGCCCACTGGAAGGTGTCCTTGTGTGCCTGCGGGACAGAATCCAGGCGGACAGGTCGGCTGTCGTAATTCAGGCTCGAGACAATTCTATCGGCGAGCAAGGCGTCTTCCGACTGGGTTAAGCTGGCTAGCCGGGCTCGGAATAGTTTTATTTCCGCCTCTGTGAAGGTGGCCGAGATGCTTGTATCTGACCGCTTTTGCACTTCTAGTCTCAGGTCCTCCAGGTTCCGAGACAGGGCATCTGTTCGAGACTCGTGCTCTGGTCTAACGTATCGTCTCCCATCCTCAAATGATTCCACCGTTTGACATAGTTCGGACATACGAGAGCTAGCACAGAGTGTCAGAAGTTGCCAAATTTACAGCACAAAGTTAATCGGAAAGAAAGAAAGGAACGCTTGTTAGGGAGCTAGATACCTCAGAAGAGAGCCTACTTGACTCGTGACAGCGTGGGAAAGCCGCTCTAGTTTCTTAACGTCGAGTGTATCCGCGAGCCTAGACCCCCACCAGGTTTTTGTGTCTCTTTCCAATGGTTGAGATGTAGACTGGTCAGGCAACCACCTCAATACACTCTCGACATCCTCCAGCAACGCTGCGGAAGCATCCCGAGAAGCCATCAGGTCTTGCACGTCGGGCACATTGCTCAACGGTCTGAATCCACTCGCTGATGGCTGCTGCGTTACAGAACGGATTTTACCATCTGACAGCGCAATTCTTAACTTTTCGAGGCTTTCCAAAATGGTCTGCTCATCTTTGCCATCCAGAGACAACGGCGTCTGTACTTTAGAGTATAGGTCAGGAGAGAGCAGTTCGGTAATGAATTCGGTAACAGCGAGGATGCAGGCCGCGGTGTCGAGCGCTGAGATGGCGTCCATGGTTGCCTGTGTTGCTTAGAGGTAGAATCTGTGTCTCGGGAATCTGGCCCTGGTGATGATTCACGAAGCTATCTCGGGATTCAAAACTCGGACTCAAGCGAAGTCTGAATCTGCCAAGATCACGAAGGCTGTGTGCACAGACGTAATATCCCGCACAGACATATTATTCCGCACAGACATTGAGACATCCTTAGTGTTGTCCAATTACCATTGCCCAAACAAACACATTCTCGTGAGCTGCAGGCACGCCATGCCTAATTCAGTAATGTAACACCTCCACACAGACGCCTAGTTCCGCACAGACATTCTGCGCACAGACGCCAGTGTTGTATCTTCCTTGGCATTCTTTTGTTCCTTTTCTCCTCCCACTTTCACTGCACTTTTCGAAGCAGCCATCAACGAAAACACACAACTACGAGGGATATCAATCTGCCATCTTCGTTTTGCTTGGCCTCCCGCTCGACAAGCAGGTTTCCCCCTTTGCAGTCCCTCTCTCGTTTGATACAAAATGTTCCCAGAGTCTTCCTACTACTAGATACCAGGTCTTTTAATCCTCGCCAGTCCACTTCTTTTCCGGCTCCTGTCGTTTGGCAAGAGGCCTGAGGGAGTCGTCGACATTGGCACGACGCCGCCAACCACGACACACACGGTAGTGATCCTCGGCGCCGGCCTGGCGGGCGTCCCACTCGTCCACCACCTGCTAAAGCACACGCCAGCATCAGTTGGCCTGCGTGTGGTGCTGGTCAGCCCCAATGACGCGCTACTGTGGGCCTATGCCACGGTCCGCGCCATCCTGCCTGACGTGTTCGGCGACGAAAAGATCTTCCACCCCCTAGGCCCGGGCTTCGCCAAGTACGGAGTCTCCCAGTTCGAGCACGTGGTGGGCATAGCGCAGAACCTAGACCCCGAGTCAAACCGCGTGACCGTATGCACGAAAGCCGACGGACAACAGCGAACTATCGACTATGACACTCTCGTCATCGCCACCGGCTCCTCCTACAAGGACGCCATGCCCTTCAAAAATCTTACCGACACGGCGACTACCAAAGATGAGATTCAATGCCTCCGCGAGAAGATTGCAGCAGCGCGTTCCATCGTGGTGGCCGGTGCTGGCCAGACGGGCGTCGAGGTGGCGGGCGAGCTGGGCGAGAAATACGGGCTCGCGGGGACTAAGGAGATCACGTTGATAGCTAAAGATGCATTACCGCTGGGGTCCGAAGTGCGCGACGACGTGCGCCGGACGGTAGTCCACGAGCTGGCCAAGCTGAAGGTCAAGGTTCTGGCGAATACGCGCGTCGTGGACGCCACGATCACGCCGGCGGGCACGCAGTCCCTGACGCTGCAGCGGATCAGCGGTTACAACAAGAGCGAGAACCATCAGATCGGCGCTGCCTCGACGATGCTCGAGACGGACCTCTACATCCCCACTTTTGGCGTGCGCCCTAACACGGCCTTCGTGCCGGCAGCTATGCTCGATGCCGATGGCCGCGTGAAAGTAGACCGCGAGACGTTGCAGGCTACTGGTTACTCCAACATTTTCGCCATGGGCGATGCCAGCAACGCCCAGACAGCTAACGGGAAGCACGCTGACGCGCAAGTACGCTTCCTAGCCCCGGCTATGCAGGATCGGCTGGCCGGGCGCACAATGCCCACCTATAATGCTAACGATACCTTCGTGTTCGCCGTCACCCTCGGCCGATACCGCGGCACTGGCCAGGTGGGCAACAGGCGGCTATGGGGGTGGATTGTCCGTATGACTATTGGCAAGCATATGGGTACCGACTACGCGCCTGACATAGCGGCTGGGAACAGGACAATGACACAAACGAAATGGTAGCGAGCCATATTCACTCTTGTCACCCCACCGAATGTCAATGCCTGTAACATGGCTTGAGGACTTCAACCCTAACTCCGACTTCCCTGATCGAGTTCAAAGCTCACTCAAGGGATCGAGGCGAGGTTTCCCCGCCTACCTATCCTCTTCTACACATAGCCCTCGAGCCTGTCAGGTTCCTTTAACTCAGGTAATGGTTGGAGGAATTTAAATGTTTGATGAGACAACTGTGGGTAGTACCAGAAATGCGGGTGTCTCCGAAAATAGCGCGGTGAGGTGACATATTCGGGCAGCTCGAGGGGGCAACCCGGGGTTTCGTCGCGAATCGCGGATTTCGTCTGCTCGTAAGGGTGCTTCTTCCCTTTCTCAGCACGACAGAAACCCCAAATTCAAGGCCAAGTGTGGCCTCAAGTCGAACATACGCAGACACCGTGGGCCAGAGGGCAACCTTGGACAAAGGACATCCACAACATGCCAATGGATATGACTGGGGAAGAGGAGAGGGAACGCCAGCAAGTTATCAACCTTCCAGGTAACTGCACACTCAGACCCATGACCCCACTCCAAGCACCATTGCCGCCTTTCTTTAGAAGAGGCTTTCTGGTGAAAATGTAAATTCATGGTATGAGCACAGTATCCGTCCATAGCAATGCGTTTGATCTAGGAGGCAGAAATCCAATTTCCTTACTGCTTGTGAGTGCTTTGAGAGCTCGGAATCGCTTGGTATAATCGGGGGAATGGCATATGATGTCAGTCGAAGAATTGAAACGTAGGTTCCCTGGGATGGATGTGCATCCGCGCCTTGTCTTCCACGTCGGGAGGTATCTCTACCTGAAGCACATATATCGAAGGGTGTCTGATGGCAAGATTTTTGACAGCGGGGCGACATACAACAGACAGTGTCCTAACTGGGCTTGTCATTGACCGGAACTCATCCTCGCGTCACCACATATAAATCTTGTGAACTTCGTCTTTGCCATCCTCTGGATCCCACGTCCCACTTCCCAGGGATAGGCGATAGATGCGGTCACGTATTTCTCAGAGGAACTCGAATCAAATTAAACGGTAGGTGTCATGTGGTGGGGGTGTAAAGTGGCCGAAGAATGCGTCTGACATAGCGTAAGCGGGGGTAAAGATGATATGCTTTGTCCTGAACGCATCGCCAGAAGTAATGTTTGGATCTCAATTAGGAGATGTTCGTCAGGATATGTTCTTGCCTTAGATAGGAGTGGAGAGAGGAATGGGAATGGCTGCCTTGTGGTGAAACCGGGGTTTAACTAACTGGTGGAAGAAAGGATTTATTTATGCTCATGAGCCGCCACCATGGAACTTGTAGGGCAAGAGGAGAGTGGATACCATGCTCGACCACTCCGAGGCTGCAATAGTAAGCCTCCGGGTTAATTAGCCCTCTGTTACACGTTGTCTGCCTCGCACGCCAGCCCATGATATGACGATGCCAGGAACGATGGGCCTTGATCACCACACCTACCCAAGTTTAATTGTTACAAAATGCGTTCATGAATCATATGGACTATTTCCCATAGATAGGTTACCTTGGCAAATCAGTGGCGCCTAATATCTTATCCTTAGTTCTTCTCAATCTCACCGCAGGGCGTGAGAGTTTGGCTCCTCGCATATTTTTCTCCGCCTGAAACTCCAGTTCCCCTGAGCCTAGACTCTTCGGCTCTTCAACTTTGACCTCGGGGGCGTCCTACAGCCAAGCCTAACAAAAAGCATCACGGAAACTTGGACAGGGATGACAGGACTGGGATTGTCTTACATTAGGATAGAAGCACTAACCTCCGTAACTGCCTTAACGGTTCTGCAGGAACACCACAGCGCCTTCCGCGAACTATATCTTACCTAACATGATTTTTTTTAACCATCAAGCTCCTCCACTTGATCTCTCTCTACCAGGTTCCTTTCTAACTCCGTCCTTAACCCCCTCTCTAACTCTATCCCCAACTTTCTCTTCCAATCAAACTCTCTCTCTCCATCTCTCTGTCCAGCTCACTTTCCACGGATCTGTCCAACAGCTCTCTATCCAACTCTCAATTGAACTCTGAATAGAGCTTTTTCTCCATCTCTCTATCCAACTCACTGTCCAAGGATCTAATCCAGGATCTATCCAACTGTCCCTTCGAGGTCCCTATCCATCTTTCAATCGAACTCTCCATCAAGGTTTCTATTGGCCTCTCTCTCCATCCCCTGCCAAAGACTCTGTCCAAGGCTCTTTAATTCCTATTATTTCCTACTTTGTCTCCGACCTCGAGGTCCCAATTGGTGTTCTTTGTGCTCCGCAGCAGAGCCTCTGAAATTCCGCGACGTCTAAAGGGTCTTAACTTTGTCAATCTCCTCTCTTTTTCTTTACATCGATCGCTTGGTATTAGCCGGCCGGTACTACCCTCAGGTTTATTCTCGGGACTTCTAGCCTGAACACGAATCAAGTCATGTCTCGTGTGTTGAACACCACCGCGGTGGAACGACTCGACCGCCCAGCCAACGTACGAATCTCGAGCGGCAACCGTCAGCCTCACGGGCTGATGAATCACGATTTTCAAGTAGACAAGCCCCTCCTAATCAAAGGGTGAGTAAAGCCGCAATACAAAGCAGGCGGGCATTATTGACCCCAGCGAGATGGCTTCTAACATACGAGAAATCTAGAGGCTCATACGAGTTGCAATCCCTTAAGCCTCGACGCTCGTTGGGTAGCGCCATGAAGGAAGATGCGGACGTTCTCAGTAAAAAGGCGCCGAGGACCATGCAGCTCGATCCCATGAATTTCTCTAACGAGACCTGTACCCCTAAGGAGAACGGACAGGGGGCTTAGGCAGCCACTCTTTCCGTTACGATGGCTACGACGCAATCCGAAGGCTACCGAACTGATAAGGGAGCTAGCGTAACGCCCCGCAGTGGCGACTTGAACTTTGACGACGCGGTAGTGATCGAGTTTGACGACACCGTGGATGAAGACCTAGAGTCGAAGATCTTGATCCTCGACGATGAGGATGATGAAATATCCTGGGATGATCTTGGCTCGCCCACTTTCCATGGACAGCTGCGTACCCAACAAGAGCACGATTCGTTGTTTCTTGGAACCAGGGGAAGGAGGATGCGCGCCATTCTTCGGAGGGCTGGCGAGCGAAGTTTTGAAGAGATTATGAGGATGGATATTCTTGATGTGGCAAAGTTCGGATTGGAGTTCGCAATGGCGTCCTGCGTTTAATTGACCAAGTTAAAACCTTACATTACGTCGAGTTGGGTTGAGAAACGCTCCCCTTTGTGATCTACTATTTGGTGGAATTGGGATACTTCTTATCTAGGCTTGAAACTGTTTTCATGTACCTTGATGCCTTGTCGACTCCGAGTCGAGTGCCTAGAAGAGGCGCTATTTGTATCCACTGATAGAATAAGTCGTTGAGTCTACATCCGTTTCTAGTGCTCTTTCTTGATACACGTAATCTGTAAATCACTCTTTGAACAATGAAGTTCCTTTTCTCTGATAAATCTTCTAGTTTCCGTAAGACACAGCGACGCGATTGTCTTCTCTTCGCCTTATATAATGATGTGCGATTGCAAACTTCACATCCATTCTTAGAACCTAAGCAAAACACCAGCAGTAGCGCCTCACTGCTAATACTGGCACGGCAGCTAATGGTTTCAGCCCGGTTCGACCAACTCTCGGGAGGCAGCCCACTAGGGTTAAGTGTCCGGTTGTATGGAAGAAAATGAGAGACTGTCTCGCGATCGTTGCCATCGGCCCAGGGATCGGCGCCAGCAGAAATGGGTATGGTCGCAGATTTCGCTTAGCAATGTATGATGGCTTAGGGGGCTGCAGAGGGTAGTGGTGCCTTGCCGTCACCGTCGATCTGATTAATGGCATTACACGTCGGCGTCCAGTGCAAGAACTTAAGGACGGTCTTGATGAATGGCAAACCTAGATAAGCTGTGGGGCCTGCCCATTGGTAGATTTCTAGCTATACAATCTATTCCTCCCGTGTCACCGAGAAGTGCAAGCCAGAGTCATCAGTGCAATTTAGCAGGCCATGTTATTCATGGCGCACGGGCACTCCTGGTACTCATTTAGGCTCCGGTGCTCGCCACATAAGAGAGCACTTGCTTGCGGTAATTACTCACTACAACGACATATGCGGGGGACTGGGGCCCAGGCCAACACCTTTGGATGGTCTGGGGCGAATATGGGAGATCTGCTCGGGCTCTGTTTTCTAATGTTCCTAGAATCAATGTCAAGGTCGACGTTTGGAGGGCTAGCAATGACGCCACTTCATCGAACGCTGCATGCCATCAGATGTTGGGGGAGTAGGATGTGGTGTGAGAAAAGGGGATGAGGGAGGGTAAGGGGAATCGAGGCGAGGCCAATGACAATTAAATCGATCATCGGTGCTTCCAAGGCAAGCTGGCGTGAGCTTTTGATTTGTGTTGTGCCTATCGTTTGGCATTCGAGAAGACACCGCTATTAAAGGAGTGATACCCAAACCGTGTCTTGCCAGCTGCTTCCCCCGGCCGAGGTAATTGTAGTTTAGAACGAGATTTGTCTTGGCAGAGAGTTAAAATAAAAACACGCGTCGTGTATGTCCAACACACATGGTCTCCAGAAAATCACACCACCGCCGATCGAAAGAGGCGTTCAGGAACTACCAAGAGGGCGACTGGACAATTTATTATTCATCTAAAGTTCTCAGTTCATTAAGTCTGAATTCGTCCTTTCAATCTTTCTTACTCCCTAGTTTCCAGCAGGGTTACGGACCTCCGTCGCCGCTGAGGCCTTAATCAGCTCCCGCCGTTTCACCGATCGATCGAGAGGTAATTCAGACAAAGCACCCCCGGCAAAGTTCTGATGCGTAACAGGAACAGACAATCGCAGTGCAAGATATTCAGAGGTAGGCGGGCCAAGCCGACGATGAGGCTTGAGGTCAAGTATTAATCTCTCAACGATCTACCCGCTTTCTTTCGTATCTCGAGCAGTTTCGTCGTCGACCCTAACACTATATGTAACTGATTTGACAATGACGTTACTCGGATGGTTAACAATGTCACCATCCCTCTTCAAAATATCCTCCTGGCTCCCGCTTGCGCTATGTTCGGTATTGTCGGGCCCTGCCGTGATGTATGCTGAGGTGGACGCCCCCTTGCCTAGAGTTCCGGATGACGGATCTTCGACTCTACTGAGAGCACTTAACTTGTAAATCTGCCCTCCTCTCCCGCGGTGGTGACGGCTACCGCCTTCGCTGCCATAACCGGAGAATTTGCTTCGGTATTCTCTGGCCCTTCGATGGAAAACAGGGGTGAGGAACGGCAGCGAAGATACCATGTTCTATCGTGCGTCATACGCCATAATTAGTGGGCAAAGCCAATTTCCCAAGGAAACCGAGATCGCAATCAACTTACGCCGATGTTGAACTCGATAACACCCCATAATACTAACATGGTCGAGTTACCGTCGCCATTCTGTATCCTGTTTATCTGCAGGCAGCGGAGGATAGAACATAGAGTCGTGAACAGGCCTAGCATAAAAATACCAATCAAGCCTATTTTCCTATTGCGGCTGATGCTGAGTTTAACCAGAACCGGGATAGGAATCAAAGCAACGATTATGCCAGACAAGATCGTTACGATAGAGTAGGCGGTAAACGATGGGCCCGGAGCAAGACACTTGCCCTCCTTAAGCGGGTTCCACGACTTATCAACCTATGTCAAGGAGCCCAAAATCGACTTGTATTAGTATAAATCGTCTAGTTGTTTGGATCCCGGGGGTGGAAGACGTTTAACAGGACGTCGAGGCGAGGTCACTTGAGACTTACCGGGGTGCAAGCGAAGATGAGGGCAAGGGTGCAGCCTAGATGACCTAGGAAGACGAAGATGATCGCGGCCCACACGGTCTTCCTATATAATTTCTTATTCGTGCCCTTGAACAGCCGTAGGTAGCTGATTAAGAGGGATATTTTGAAGAAACTGATGCCGATCTGGTAGATAGGCCTTCCGGCAAAATTGACGCGAGTGTATGTGACAAGGTTCGCCTCTGGGCGCAGCTTCAGGGGTAGACCGAGGCCGTATTTAGTTTCTAAGAGACAGACCGAGTTAGATATCATAAGCCAAGCCACAGCGGACAGGAACAACCCGGACAGGCCCGAGACTGAGATGCCATGCCGCCAAAGAAGCCATCCTTGGTCATCTAAGAGAGTAATTGTGTGACTTACGAACAATGCAAATTATAGAATATATTATTGCAAATATGACGGAGAGGACGGCCATCCAGTCATCGGCGGCCATCCCGCGGACTCTGGCACGCACCCATACTCTTAAAGTGCTCGTGCCGGTAGCGAGGATACAGAGCACCAGGCTGACGACCACGATGGTCTTGTAATTCGACTCTGCATCCACCTCAGGGGTCCCATTGACAATCCACGTCATGTTGGCTCTGCAGGTCCCTGGGCGATTTCTTTTGGGAATGAGGACCGGGGGCGGATCGGCGACAGATGGCGAAAGATGCTCGTAATCACCCGAGGAAGTCAAAAGGCGTCGATCCAAGTATCGATATCGTAAAGCCACTTCAAGACGCCCAAGCAGTCGGGGGAGAATAGACCATCATAGGTAGATGGGAGAGTAAATGTAATGCGAGGAGGTATTATTTAACGTGGAGAGGTAGATGTCTGGTCTCTTGAAATATGAAGTATGGTATGAAGTAGCTGAATGGGAAATACAAGTATCCCCATGTTGAGGGCACCGTTACCGGGGTCTTTCTCTGAAATAAGGAGCCTCTGGCGCTTTGACAGAATTGAAAACAGATTCAATCGATAGTGGCAGAATAGCAATTGCATAGCGCCAACAAGAAAGGCCTTTTACGAGCCGCCGCCAGAGGAGGAGCTATTTTTTGGGGTCCTGACATTGTCGCGCTTTGACATTCTGATAAGTGAAGGCAAGCCTGCTTCAACCGAGAGCTCGGATTGGAGGCCGAGTCCATGGAAACGGGCCCCTGGCTGCCAGTGTCTCTGCATAACACTAAGTCTCCAAGTGGTCATACAGCTCCTGGTCTATTTCAGGGCCCAGCTGTCTAGTCTCTTCTAGGACCTAGTTCTGATGGTTTATTGGTACTAATCTCACGTAGAATGTTCTGCTAAAACAGCCGTGCGCATCCTTAGCGTGATGGGAACATCGATCGATCTGACTACAATCCCTCAGTACACGTGCATTAGGCACCCACGAAGTAGCTCCCTTATCAGTGAGCTATTGGAACACTCCTACTTGCAGATATATGGTGCCGCTAAGGCATTCTGGCGATCGTGGCGAGATCGGTTACTTCGGATGTGACACTGCCTTCATCGCGGTCTCCAGCCTCCCCCTGGATATCCTAGTCGACTCAACACTTTAATTCTCAGTCCTTTGGTATGCTTTTCCGTTTGCTTTTTCCTTTTCCTTCTCTATCAGGGTTTCTGGTTTCTTAGGCGAAGTAACTATCAACCGCCCTAGATTTACGACCCTCATCCCAACGCGCGGTATTCTTACTCGATCACCCTCCCCTGCACTGTGTGCCTCCGGTGAATTTCATGCGTCTGCGACGAAGCGCTAAGAACTAGCTCCATTTGCTCTTTCGCCCTTTCATCATACGTTACCGTCGCAAAAGGGCGTCTTTTCTCATGTCTTCAAGGACTTACATCACCCCCATCCCCTCGTCTTTGTAAGCGTCGCCCTTTATTTCTTCTCTTCTCCCATTTGTTTTTTTCGGCTTGGGTCTCTCTGTTTCTTGAGCTTATAGCCCATTACCAGACACTCCTGGCACAAATCATATCCAACGCGGCGCATCATTAACGCTCACTCTCCAGAGGCTATGTGAATAGGTTATACTATGTAAAGTCACCCGTTTATTCGGCAATTCCTGTTACTACATTGCACATTGCAGGTCGTAATCCATTTAGGCTGACTCGATCAGTTCCGTTTAACGTTTAACGTCTTCCATCCTAAAATATCTGCTACCAGTGCCCTTGAACCAGGATGTGTTGTTTTGACGACAAGAGGGAATCATAAAACTTAACAATTAGAGCGTTAGAACGACCAGTACTAGCCCCCTGGATTCTCTCAGCTGTTACTGGACCCTGGACTGTTGCTGTGAAGACTGTAACTCGGAGGCGGGTTGAGAATGACTGCTTCGGTAGTCGTGACCAAGTACTAATGCAGAAAACAGGGGTGTGAGCAGTTCAGGCCGTGTTGGATTGGATTGCGACCATTGTATCACTGAAAGATTACTTGCCTGAACCTCTGGTTGCCGGGTCGAAGAAACACCCATCACAATTTCAACGGCGTACGACCGCCGAACAGCGCAGGATTGGAAACTGGGGGCGACGCTAGCTGGTACAGAACAATTCTGCAAGATCCCGAAATCAATCTCGACTTGTTCCTGATCGACAGTGATGTCACCGATGATGTTCCACATGGGTCGATAGACCACCACTTCCCTTGATTCGCACCCGATAACCGCTTTGGTTGCGATGCGCAGCTTTGCCGCTACAGATCGGACACGGATCCCTCCGACCATCTCCTGCAAGCCATGCGGGGCTCGCACCACTAGGTACACTCGCGCTGGCACATCCCCATGCGATAGAACGACAGGCCGTTGCATCATCACTTCGAGCATTAATGCTGGTGAATAAGCGGGTAGACACTGGACAGGAACTCGGTCCACCCCGAAGACGGACGCCCTCACTTCGCCTGATGGCCCGCCAAGCCGGCTCGCTGGAAGCATTGCGGTGTTACGGGCAAACTCCGAGGACATGGGAGGCCGCGGTTCCCACCGTGATTTCGTAGCGATTCCATGGCACCCAACATCGAACTTGAGTTCATGTCTGGCCCGAAGACGACGTCGAAAGAGCCCCGGGCGACTGAGATTGACCATGATTGAGTATGTGACATGGACTTTGAGGTGACGTGTGCGCAGGTTTAACGTCGGGGGAAGGAGGTTTTCGGCCTTGGGCCGTTGGTTGTAGCACCAAGCATTTTCAGGGAAGCGAAACAAAAAAGGAACCAATCAAAGTCCGCCATCTAGCAGTGGTCCGGCAGGCTGGATGGACTTAGCCTCATCAAAAAGCTAATCATGGAAGTCAGCAATCCAACCACTGCTGCTAGAGAGGAGCAGATCCCGAGAATTCGCTTCTATTGACAACGTAGGTCTTTTGTTGTAACCTGGGCTCGTGGATTTGTCGTAGCTCCAGCTCAGACTCGGGTGCAAATGATACCTTGAGTTTGCCTGTGCCACATGAGCCTCCGGTCCTGGCCTCTCTCAGATCCCGTCCTAATATTGTACAGAGTTATTACCTTGAAACCGAATCTGAAGAGACTGAATCTTCTCAATGGAGCAACGGCCCAGGTCGGCATAACCGCGAACCTCTTCTGCGGATATGAAGTATTCCTTATTTAGAGGCTCGTGGATCTTTAGAAGGATCTTCATCTTGTGGCTGTCAACGAAAGTAAATAAACCAAATCCCGCCATGGGTAGTTTTACGTCCGTTGTAATTGCAATAACCATCACCCCTCTGCATTATAATCTCAATATTGATGTCATGTGTCGTGACGGAGATAAAGGGAAAAAAGAAAAAGAAGAAAAAAAAAAAAAAAAGAGTACAAAAAATCCCCGGGATGCTGCCCGCCCCGGAAATACCGGAAAACTCCAAGTGTAGCCCGAGGACCTCTCATCCTGAGAGCAAATGCTCAAGAATTAATGACTTGCCGCTCTTACAGTACACAGTCCCCTACATGGTGGGCCTCTAAATGGTCAGATAGCGTAAGCTTTCGACGGTGTCGGAATCTTTCAGATCTTATTCCCTTTCACGTCATACATTTCTCCGCCTTCTCAAAGAGATGGCAACCGTATAAGCGGCGGTCTAAGTTGGCTCTCCGGCGGCTGGTTGCGTCAGTTGCGTCAGACGGTCAGATAGTTCATAAACCGGGGCTTCAGCGGAGTCGTCAAACCGAAACCCCCCAATTAACGCATGCGGAGCGGGTTTTAGATTCTCTGTTGTTTTCGTCATGGTCTTCAATGATATGTGAGTCTGAGCAGCAAACTTTCGGATAAACCGGCTAACTCGGAAGCCAAATCGCCCGTCTCAATGTATTAATGCCCTCCCGCCCAACTCGTCCCGCGTGTTTGCAAAAGACGGGTCGTTGCACACCTTTCCACATCATCTAAAATGCCGGCTTCATCGGAAGAGACGGTCCTCCGCCGGAAACGCGTCGCCAAGGCGTGCGAAACGTGCCGCGCTATGAAATCCAAGGTGAGTTCCGCCCCTGGAGCCTGGAGAACGGACAATGCACATGATCGCACCCCCACACCCCACGCCAATTCTGTCACTTCCCAGCGCTCTCTATCATCTTTTGCATTCGTTAACAAAATACGTGTCCGTAGTGCGATGGAAAGCGTCCATCATGCAGCAGATGCACCGGATACGGTTATGATTGCGTATACTCTACGCACGGACGAGGCACGCGGGGGTCCATGGCTCGACAGCTTCGAGAGCCGTCTACGGGATCCAGCGCGGCATCTCCGGGGGATACATCACGAACCACACTGAGAGCCGCACTTTTCGACTACGACGAACTAATCCAGCGCATAGTGCCGAAACTCCCAAAGTCCGAGCAGGAGTCTATTCTGGATGATGCCACCTCTATCAATAATCGGATCAAGGGCGCACTATCGAGCACGTGGAAACCAGCGAGCAGCGACCGTTTCTCTACGCAAACAAACAGGGTGCATGTATCGCCTTCCCGAGTGCCTTCATCGCAGCGATACCTAGGAGAAGTCAGCGACGTCACATTCTTTAACCTCGTCAAGCGTGTCCTTCAAGCGAGTCCGCCAGGTCATGTAGACGAGGCGATCGATAGCTACGAACTCGATGATGCCGTCAGCGGTACCATCGCACCTCAGAGCGTTTCCGACTACCTTCCAAGTCGGGAGATAGCAGATGAATACTTAAGCGCCTACTTCTCAACTATACATATCGCTTACCCATTTATCCAGAAGGGTCCATTCATAAAGACACTCGCCAAGCTTAGAGAATCGGACTCGGCAGAGAGTGTCAGCAATTCCTGGCTTGCAACTCTGTGTATGTTCCCGGAAGCATTCTTTCCCACCAAGCGCTACCATGAGAACTAATAACCAGCCATCCCCTCCTCAGTCGTCGTCTTCGCCATCGGGGAGTATTACTCGTCTTTCCCTGAAAGAGACACGAATCATGACCATTACTTCGAGCACGCACTAACTTTGTCAAATAACAGCGACTGCCTGGAAAGGTCGGTGGAGCAAGTGACCTTCCTACTGGCGAAATGCTTTTACTTCCTGGCTGTATGCCGGACAGATAGGTTTGACTGCTCGGAATGACTCGGCGTTCAATAACGAGGTACTGACGTGAAGATGCAGGTGCTGGACAACTTTGGGACTCGCCATTCGAGTGGCGCAGGCCATTGGATTGCATGTCGAACTCGACCCCCGAGTTAAGAGCCAAGCTCCGTGGAAAGCCGAGGCGCGACGTCGAGTTTGGTATTCGCTGTATGTTCTCGACAGACTTCTCTCACTTCAGTTGGGTCGGCCACCAGCTATCCACGACGATGATTGTCATGTTTTGCTCCCATCCCGTATCGATGATGCAGATATCGACTGGGAGAGCAGCGACACTGGGCTGCCCTTACCAGAGGGGCCCTCCACGGGGGATTATTTTCTGGCGGTTATTTCTCTCTCTAGAATGATAGGCCGCGTCCTGCGCGACCTGTATAACCCCCAAAGAGCCCCAACCGCAGCGTTCGGCTTGTCTAAGACTGCTTCGCTAGATACAGAGCTATTATGCTGGAAAGGGGGCCTACCGCGGATGTTGCGTTTCGACTTCGGGCACGTTTTCGAGACGTCGGTCATATTCAGGAGACAGGTAACTAGCCAGCCTTCCCAAGCCTGTGAAATTTCCGAGTCTAGGGTGCTGACATTTGGGTTTGATGTTGACACTTAGCGCAACATGCTGGCGGTCAAGTTTCATCACCTTCGCGCCCTGATTCATCGCCCGTACCTTTGCTTGCCCTTCTTAAGGCATATCGACGATTCCTCTGCCTCGTCGCTCCACACCGACGCGCTCGCAATTCAAAGATATGAGAAGATATGCATTTCTGAAGCCCAAGAGACCGCACATTTGCTCCATCGAATCGGGCACAAGAAAGATCTAGTAATCGAGTTTCCGTTCTGGCAGATGATTTCGTGTCTTATATGCGCCAGCTCAGTTCTTCTTGTCGCTAGCGTATTCATCCGCAACTCTAGCACGGGGCAGGAGCTAGATGTCACGGCCCTTAACGATGATGCTGAGACCTGCATGAAGGTGTTTGAAGCTCTAAGCTCTCACTCCGACGCTGCCAGGATTGCGCGAGACATGATGATCCGACTAAGGGAGCAAGGGCGGAAGTGGAGTAAGTCCCTTAGCACCCTGTCCTCAGGGAATCAGTTGCTGATAAAAGTTCTCATTCTCTTACCATCTCAGATGAGTCTTGTGATCATGCCGATCTACAAGAACAGCAGATACGTGTGTTTTCAGAGGCTGAAGTACAGAATCATCCAGACGGATCTCTTGAGCCGATTAGTGGAAATGCGCTGTTAATAGAGGCCAACATCGATGGCCCTCTTTCGGTAAATCAGGATTGGCCATCGGAGATAATAGACTCCATGGCATGGTCGTCTCAATTCTTCGATTGGCATACATAATTTCATAATTCCAGACTTCGTGCGCATATCCATGATAGGCAGAAATAGATCGAGTATTCTCATTGTGTCATTTCTGCAGGACTCGGCCTTGTGCAAAACGCCAATGGATTACGAGTGTGAAGTCAGATAAACCGGAATCGGTCCAATTCACAGCACAGGACGGCCCGCATCACGCTGAGGGGGAGACTCGGGCGTAGTGATCATTAGAATCCCCCAATAACCAAGGGTAGTTAATATTTCTCGATGGAACTACCTTGCACCAAGAGCCGATGAAGCCCATCATCGTACAGTAGAGCCGTCTCCTGAACGGCCATCTCTGGAACACCGTCGTGCTCGATATCTCGCCTACCTATACACCGTCTCCTACATGATCTTCCCCTCTATCATGGGTACTTTGGTACGAGTTGGTCTGGAAGCGTTGATGTTTTATAAGGGGAGCCCAATATTGTTTACCAGTGTATGGCCAAACTTTGCCGGCAGCGTCTTTCTCGGTTTCCTAATTGAATCTCACAGCTATACCTCTATGGTTTGTTCGAGAGGAAAAGGGAGCAGGACATGGCAGAAACAGCAAGATTCTCTCCTCGGCCGAGTGCTGGGACTGGCGATGAGAGCTTTGGTGTCAATTCGATCGAGTGTCCTAGTGCACACGATATCTTACCTATTTTCCGATCTACCCCCCTTTACATTGGACTTGCAACCGGGTCCAGCGGTTTATTCACGACGTTCTCCTCCTTCATCCTTGATATCGTCCTTGCTTTGTTCAGCGCGCTCACCACACCACAGCACCACCTTGGTGAGACTAGGTATTGTCTATTGCAACGAGGGGCGGGTATGGACACCATGGCAGCGATTGCTGTTGTCCTCGTGACACTCTTTCTTTCGCTCGGAGGTCCCAGGCTGGGCGACCACATCGCTATCCTTGCCATCAGGGCCACCTGGTACTTCTGTCTCCTGAAAAATCCATTCTAGACAAGACCTCCATCTTCTAGCTTTCGGTTCTTGGATTGGAGCCGTTTTCACCGTAAGATACCCACCTGACCGGCCAACGGGAACCAGGAAGCAGCACTTCATAGAACACAGGGTTTCGGCGAGAAGAGATACTATTCGCGATCGTCCTTGCGCCCTTTGAATAGCTTACACGTACCAGTTTAAAGCATGTGCCGAGCTTGGACGAGAGGATGCCCAAAGCGGGCCCTAACTCCTGCAAGGGGCCATTGACGGCGTCTGCGGTTGCCTGACAACGGTAAGTACCTGGGTAGTGGAACTTGGTCATCTCCGCAAGAGGCATGCCTACACTACCTATACGGCGGATTATGGGTGATTCTATCATTGGCCGTATTGATTGTTAGTAGAGGCACGTTGAAATGGATCGTGGGTTGGACCGCCTTGGCATATCAGATAGAGGCATTGTCAGCGAATAAAATGGCCAGTGGGTAAAGCAAGGAATTAAGTTTAGAACCTCACGTTAATCGTTTTGGTGGCCATCATTACTCTCTAGTACGAGAGGACCAGCCACTAAGATTCCAAAAATGCATCCTTCGGCCTTGGAAGGTCTTCGCCTTGAGTGAATGAGGATAGGAAGTGACTGTTCGCGAACCTCGCGTTGATAGCATTTCAACTACGAGCGTATTTCTATATATATATATATATATTTCAAGTGTATCTGGGCCGTCGTTGGCTATCACTGCCGCCGCGTCTTCGATTCCTGTGTTCCTGTTGGCGTCTGAGACCTCTCTACTTCGTATTAATAAATCAATTACCCTCAGAGTGAAGAGTGAGGGCGTCTGGGGTCTTGGCGACACGGCCCGCCCTCACCTGATTGCACGAGCCATGGCTGGCCTTAGGATGTCCGCACCTGTCAGGCCGTGTCTCAAGACTAAAAATTCTCCTGGTTTTCTCAGGCTGTTAAACGACTGTCACGATATAAACTAGGTCGATTGAGAATGCCCACTCATACAGCTCCGCTGGCAGCCTGCTGTGATGGTCAGGATTCAATTGTTGGGGGTATGCGGTCTTGTGACCGTCGGAATCCGACAATTCCGGGGCAGGGAATTATTGCCAGCTGGGAGAGCAGAAAGGCAGGGGGGGGTGGGGGTGGAGGCAACTGAAATTCTCGTGTTATTGCAGGGGCATGGAGTAGTACTAGTACATGTATTTCGGCAGACAGGAGATTGATAATGGGCCAGGAATGACGATCTGGTTCTTCTGCTCGAGTCCCCAGTGATATCCCCTTTGGGTTAGGCCGGGCACACCACGGGTCGGTGCGTCTCTAATAAACCCAGTGCCAGAAGTTCTGAGCCAAAGAAAAGGTGAGTACCAGTACAACATGCCAGGAGTCTAGACTTGGGCGGAGATTTTACAGGGGTAGAGGGGCAAAGCCGAGGACGAAAAAGCAGGAGACTGGGATCCGGCAGATGTTCAGAAACCTTCTCAAACCAGACGCCGTTCTGGTGTTCAAAAAGCCACAGCGTCAATTCTCAGCCGCAATGCGCTGGTCGATGGATGTTGATACTGCTGCCATCGAAGGTTCAGGCGACAGGAAGTACGTCGTTGGCGATTCCCAGGGCAATACCAGTGTATTACGAAATATACTACGAACCCTGGGTGCCAACAGTTGATGCCCCGTTGGATTGTGGGGCGCAATGAGACTCGAGGCGCGCACAAGCGGTGAAGCCGATCCATGATCCATGACTACAACAGGTCCTGAAAAACCTTACTTCTACGTCAATGAAGAATGAAGAACTCGCGCGCAAGACATGGGCCGTCGTCCTGGGTTAGAAATTTCGTTGCCGAAAAGGAGGAAGCTGCAATTGAACGGATGACCATCGAAAGGCTGTCGACAACAACTTTACAAAGTTAAAAAGCTCAGTAAACTCGATATATTTTGTTGATTAAAGAAATTACCTGCTATGGGTAGCTAGGTGGGATTGCTAGAATCCCGACATTATAAAACCGTTGTTCCTCCTCGTCTATTCCTTGGTCTCTTCGTTGACCGTAGCTCTATACGTGATCGTGATAATGGTTGATAATATTTTATGTCGCTCCAGGGCCATTTATGCTTCTGCCCTTTCGGGGAGTGCCCTTTCGGCGAGGGCTCTTTCGGTGATTTTGGGTCGTCGGCGCGAATCGGAAAGAGTGCGCAGGACGTGTAGGTGCTCCTCTTTGAGAGAATGGAAGTCGTCCTGGAGTTGGTGGTGCCACGGGTACAAGACAAATACCTGGAAACCCAAGGCAGAAGTCGCGACGGCGAAGTTGGTAAGAGAGATGAGTCGAGTGATCCTCATTTTGGCGGCTGTCGGTTCAATGACTTGTCTGTGTGTGGAGTGGCAGTTGGGACGTCGTCGGCGGGCAGAGTAGTGTCGGAGGAACTATTCTCTGCCTTTCCGAGTAGAGCTGTCTCGAGTTGCTTGAAAGAGAGAAGTGATGAGTGGATTGATCAAGAGAGAGAGAACCGCCTTTCAAGGAACACGGTGGACGTGGTGGTGAGAACTATGGTGAAGGCCACGATCCATGCGAGAAAGAACAATGACGTCTAGCTGTGGTTGTACTTCTATACTCTTGGGGCGGGAGCTAGAAACGCATGGATCGAGTGGTCTTGGAAAGGAAAGAGAAGAAAGGAAGTCTAGTAATAAGAGAGGGAAAAAAAAACCTGAAGCTGGGCGGTCACTTTTAATAGTCACTTTTTCTTTTCTTTTTTTTCCCTTCACTGCCCGGCATCGGCGTCGGCTCCGAAGTTAAGCCGAAGGGAAAGTGATGCCCACGCGGAAGTGGAGACGGCGCGCTCCGCTCTAATATTTCCCAGAGAACATAAAGTCGATAAAGAGAGGGATTTATACTAGCAACGACATAAGGGGACAACATTTGATCACATTTTTCTTATTCATTGGATCCCATTCGCTCATATATACTCAGGTATTTTCCCAATTGTCCTCACATGGAGGATGTAAACGGATTGCATCTCCAATTAACCGAGGTTACGAAGGTGATACAACGGCGGGTTTTTATCGAGGCGGGATGCCGTTAATCGCTATCTAGCCAGTTGGGGACAGGTGTCAGGCCTATCTTGTGTCCCTTTTCAGGCAATCTCCGGACGTGCGAAATTTCTCTAGGTGGGCTTGGCAAAGGTCGGGAATGATCTAGACCCTCCTCCAAGATTCCATCATCTTTTGCCCAAATTGTTCAATGTGAAAGGTTAATTGCCAAAGCCACGAATGAGGCCCACTCCGGTGGCTGTGGGAGCGAAGCCGCAAACACCTTGGCCTTCGCTTGGATTTGGCTTGGCAAGAACTTTGTGAGTCATTCCCAATTGTCCTGTGCCTCGTTTCATCAGCCACGACGTCTCCATGCTTCGTCATCACTTGCTGTTACCTCGGTTTGGAAAATGAGGTGAAACAGGCAGATTCACGATTGCAAGCGTGGACTTGGATGGAAGAAAACACGGATTCATACAAAGTACTCCTGGGTAGTCGCACTTTAAAACCACGGTCAAGGGGACCGACTTTGACACGACGCTACAACAGCTCAGTGCAGATCAAGGAACTTTGACCAGCACGCCCACACCCACCAGTTCCACATGTTCGGTACTGAGTATTGATCACATAAGATTTGACGAGGTCTAGACCCTTCGATGGTTGGTCCAATTGTCTTCCATTTTCCACCCCCTGAGAGCCCCTCCCTGTTCCCCTCAACCAAACTCGCCACTAGGCCACCCCTTCCGGCATCAAGACTGGTCCAGTGTTTGGCCACGAGACACAGAAAAAAAAAAAAAAAAAAAAAAAAAAAAAAAAGAGATAGTTAGGAAATTCCCGCTGACCGTTTCCGTGATCTTTGATCCCGTGTCAGCGGTTTCAAGAAGCAGGGTCATCTCCCTCTTTCCCCACCATTTGCGACCTGGTGACTTGTTTAGCAATATCACAATCTCGTCTCTTCTGACGTGCACAAGAGCGTTCCTAGTGAGTGAGTTTAGATTACACCATAAACTTAAGTTTACTTTTACTTGGAGAAGTCTATGTACACACGAAGTCTAGCCTTCAGCATGTCTCTACTGTTTCTCCGGTCACAAATAGCCCAATCTAGCGACCGATGTTTTTACCGTCCTGGGAGGCTCCACTTCGCAGTGCTCGGTACTCCATATTTTGCAACGCTATCCCCACAGAAGCCACATTTTGCCCATCGTTTCTCCCAGGGCCAGCCAACCCCGGGGCGGCGGCAGCCAATATGGTACTGGACTTGGGGTTGTAAGGTGCTCGACTTTCGGATTGAGTGTACTGGAGTCGCCGACCCTCAATCCTCATCCTCGCCTAGTTATGTCCGATGTGGGTCTAATTCCTCCATTTTGAGACCATACATACGGAGTAGTCTCGTACTAGTGCCGCCTCCTCCACCTTTCGTCTCCGCAATCAAGCATGTGCACGAAGTTCCCTGGCTCGCCGAGCCGCCTCTCTGGAAAGTTCTTCGGCTTCTTTTCTTCTCTTCGTAGTCTCTCTCTCTCTAGCTCCTCCGTGGCAAACCTTGCCTACTCACCAGCCCCCTTCACCCTGTAATTAATAAGCCCCGCTAAGATTTGCCTACAAGATATCTTATACTACTCTGAGCGTCTGGGTGCATTATGTATGCCTGGTCTTATCTCGGTCAATGACCTACGTATCGCAACTCCTTTCAGAAATTCGTGGACATCAGCCACCATTGTACCCGGCGCTTATATGTTGGGGTGGTGCTTTGTTTTTACCTATCCCGCCTGTCGTGCACCTATTTTCCTATACTCTGTCGTGGCCACTGCTTGGCTGCAGTTAAATATCCCCTTAGGATCCGGTCTTGGGCTACACCTCCTTCGAGCCCTGTTCCGTAGCATAAAAGCCAGACTGATAGACAGTTGAGACCTCGTGGCGCAGCCCTGTCCAGTCTGCCGGCAACAATTCCCCCAACGAAGCCCGATGGTAAAAAAACCCGATACTTTTCACTTATTTCTTTTCCCTTAATCTCCTTAGCGTGGCATCTGACGCGTCATGGCATGATGGAAGTCTTACCTTTCCAGGAGAAATTCACGCTGAATATAAGATTATTCCGACCATGGATGTGGGATATATTGTTAAAAAGACACGGTTTCGAGTTGTGTCTAAGATCCAATATCGGTTCCTGTCTGTAGCGTGCCCGCGACGGAAAGGCCAGTACAATGAATATATCATTGATGCTTGCCTCTGCTGAAAGTCAAGGTAGTACTGGATCACATAAACAGTAGTTGCCTGCGTCTCCTCCAGATACTGCTGCCCAACCGAAACGAATTGGTACTAGACCGAAAATATCACGCTCTATACAACCAATTTCGGTCACGAATTGTTACGAGGACGTAGAGAGAAGGGAACCTCGAGGTTCTCAAACAATTACAGTGACACACTCTCTATACTTTGCAAGTACATTGATGTCACCTGTCGTAGGTAATATTGTCAAACAGTTAGCCCTGCCTTGTCAACCCTAACTCTCGTACATGATCAACAGTCTTGACTCTTTCCGGATTTTTCAAAGCAGTCCCAGTAGGAGTTCCGATATACTATGGGTTGTCGAGACTGATATGACCACGGTTAAAGTACATACCGGAGGAGCATTGCGCCCCCTACTTTAACACCCACATTTCTTTTTCTCTCGCATCCCCTTCGTCTACTAGCGTATGTACTCACAGCAATATAAAACCCCAAGCCGTGCCGCAATCCTACATTGCTCAGCGATGCAGTGCCCTGCAGTAAAATCATCCAACCTTCCTGGTTAAGGGATTCGCCGGCCAGGTAAGCAGGGCCCATGTGAGAAGGATAAATACGGGACTTACTCCCGTTTTATAATATTGATAGAGGTCGGCTACTTTGAATTCCTATGCCACCTTCCCCAGAGCTGCCAGAGGACATCTCATACAGCCCTTCCATTTGTTTCTATACTTGTTCTTGCAGCCTTGTTAACAGCAATGAGGCTAATAACTCTTGCTGGGCTCCTGCTACCCACTCTTGCGTTGTCGCAGGATGTTCGCAATGAACCACGCACTACCGAGGCTTGTGGTCTAGAAATTCCAGACATTCCGTTCGAGCTGAAGCGTGGATGGAGATATATAGTCCTAGTCTAAGATGTACGTGTTTCGCGCTATTAGAGATTTGCCTTCTATATTCTTATTTCTCCCTCAGCCTTCCGTGGTCTGTGCCGTGGCGGATGCAGTCCTAGAGATGGACCCGGACACTGATTTCGTAAGGGTGTGGACTGACGACCTTTTCCCGGGGCTTGTCTTGTCTTTGACGGCAATTTTGTACTATCCGCACTGCTTTCTATCGAAGGGGTCTTGAGTGCTTGGGGTAATAAACTCATTCCATCGCCACGGCCAGCCTCTGGTCCATAATGAGACTGCGGACTTGGTGTTACTCCATGAAAGGAAACGAGAGAACGTGAATCATTGTTATCAGCGGGTCGCCCCCATTGGTTTCTTATTTGTTGGCCATAATGATAATGCTGGCCAGTTGTCGGAACTCAGTTTGTCGATAAACGGCCCTCTGGGCAATGAGATTCCATGGGTCTTCTCACAGTACCAATTTCAGATGACGGAGGCTACTAGATTGCATCTTACCTTACCGGGAGATTAACCGTACGCAGTGTCAGCAGTGGGTTATCATCATGCGCCTCTGTGGATATCACGCGACAAAAACCGTCTATTTCGAGCACGAGTAGCTGCGTGTCATTTGTTAAACTTCAGTTTGTTGAATATCGATTATCTCCCTCTACGAATAATAAATGCAAGCTTCCAATAACAAGTCAGTGCCCACAAACCCCGAAGTTTACCTAGGCATGCTACTTCCCCCTGCTTGACGTAAAGACGCTATGATAATTTACCGTGGAGTCACATATACATACTCTCTATGATGGCTGGAAAGGCCGGGAATGGATTAGAGTCTACTTCTCATACGGAGGCCATTTCAGAAAGATAAGTCCGCGTGACAATCCGCGACTTATCGAGGAAATAGTCAAAGCTCATAAATAGGCCGAGGGAACTTCATCGAAACATTTTTCTCGCAAGCCGGAACACCAAGAACGCCGAGGGCGAGTCGACGATACAATAATGAAAATGAATCAAGTGATGTCCGTAGGCATTTCAGCAGCCAGGCTCTTCGCCCAACCACAGTTTAACTCCGAATCCTAAGCGCTGGTGATTTGATCTATCACCAGCGTCTCATATGAGCCTGATTTTCAGTAAAAAGTCGGCTCAACTCTCGCTTCAAGGCTTCTCGATCAAGCCAGATGTCTACTGAAGCCAAACCAACTCACAATGAAGAAGTCCCTGCTTCTGGATTTGTTTAGCTGTCCAACTTAAAGCCCAGTTTCTGGCTGCTCAACTTCGAGTAGTGTAAGATATCAAGAAAGATCACGAATGGTCGCAAAACTGAGGGTAGCGTTCCATCCATAAGTAGGATGTGTATCTTGACAAATGAAGAAATAAAAAAGGGAAAACGTAAGTAGCGACGTTGCTTCTACAACTATGGAGAACCTTCCGGGAAATTACCTGCAGCCATGAACGATTCCACGTTCCCATGGCATTTCGAATCATCGATTTCATGTACTACAAGTTAATGACACTTACTGAGTATGTCTCTTCTGGCTAAAAGATGAGAGGAGACGAGATGAAGCCAGATAGCTTCAATTGTGCGGCCACAAATTCTTGCCAAATCTTTCGTTAGTCCAACAACCATCTTGCATGCCATCATGAAAGTTCAGAAATATGTCAGTGTCAGACCTTACGGTAGGGTTTGGTCGAGCCGAGAGCACCATTGTCCCAGTGCCTGCCAAGAAAGGAAACTCACGACCTTACGTTACCATTCGCAGGAGGAGTACCGTGTAGCCAGCGTGAATTTTGAGAATGCGAACTACACAAGTGGAAGGTGGTAAAAGTTCAGGTTTATCCCTATAGTTCCATTTCTGGTGAAGATCGATCGTAATAGCCCGAGATTCAGAGGCGCAGATGCAGTCGCAGCCTTGATAGTCTGCACTGAGGAGCCAGAGCTGGGCGCTAAAAATGGGTATTAAGTGTCGCTTGTGGGGCTGTGCCAATCGACCAAATATCGATGTTGAGTTAAAGGGCGTGCCTTTCACGAACTTTCCTGGTAACCTAGGGCTTTGGACTCGGGTTAAACGCGAAAAGTACCTGACATCCGAGTAAGGCGGGCCAAATGTCTCGGCGCTTGTGTCAGTTAAATACCCGATGGAAGTGTAGCGCCTCTTTCTATCGCGGTCAGGATTTGTTCACCGCTTAGACCAGATCCAGATCAGTCTTTCGTAGGTGTCTGTCGAGAGGATCGATCCGCCTATGGATTCTGGGTCAGGGAAAGGCCGGCAATTACTTTGAAATCGGGAAAATTTGAACAAGATCAACTCAACTCCCTCGCGGATTTCCCGATGCTGACTCTATCATGCGAAGGAAATGGTGCCCTCCATGTTGTTTGGAGAAAAAGCGACAGTTTCCCTCAAGACAACCTACTCGAGAGAGATTAAAATATCTACCTTAGCGTTACAATACCGTCCCATACGCAAATTCAGCGTTGTGGAGGGGAGCCCACATCGAGGGGTCGAGGTCTTGTGATTTCGCTTCAACAACTTACGTCTCGGTCCGGTCGGTCAGGAATCAGGATGATCACAGGGTCATGGTACTTCTAAGGCTGTGATATCGGCTGAAACATAAAATGGTACGTTACGCCCATCTGACGGTGAAGGAATCGACTGCAATTGACTGCATACGGGCAGCCGCACTGTTACTTTTGCCAGTCTGTCATGAACTCTCCCAAGGGCTTCTTTTGTATCCCATCGGAATCAAAATTCTCCGAGTTTAACCACTGCTCCAGCGCGTTCTTCACCATAGGCCATTCTTCGTCCAACATCGAGTACCAAGCTGTGTCGCGATTTCGACCCTTCGCGATCATGTGCTTCCTGAAAGTTCCCTCATATGTGAATCCCAACCGAACAGCAGCTCGGCACGATGGTTCGTTTAAACTATTACACTTCCACTCGTACCTCCTAAAACCGAGCGTCTCGAAGACATATCGAGCCAGTAGATACATAGCTTCTGTAGCTGCTGGAGTACGCTGGAGCGGACGAGTGTAGAGAATGCTCCCGACCTCAATCACACGATTCGGCAGATCCATCCTCATTAATGAAGCCATCCCAACGGCCTTGGGCCGGGAAGATGGGCTGTTCAGAAGGATCGCATATGTCCAGGGATTTGTCGTTGCCGCCTTGCGGGCAAGCATAGTGCGAAGATCCTCAACTGATTGGTATGGATCGTCGAAAAGGTAATCGAAAAGAGATTCATTCTCAGGACCCTGCAGAAGCTCATACAGGTCCTCTGCATGGCTGGGGCTGATTGGGGCAATGGACGCGTAATTTCCCTTCAGCACGACTTCGTAACTGGGTAACTGAGCCGGTGCGTCAGGTACTACGGCCCCAAGGAGGCTTGTATCCACGAGGTTGGAGGCACTACCCACGGGTCAGATGCTAGTTCTTCGTATTAAAAACAGCCTCGCCACTATTGCTTACGTATTATCTTCCGACTGCGTGCGTGGATCCATCCTTTTGGAGTTGTAGGTAAAAGAGTAGAAGCGGGTTGGTATCACGGCGCCCAGGAATATAAAGAATAACAATCTTGAGAAGCAGGGATTTATGGTAGCAGCTCACACTTAAAAAGGCAACCGGACTCGTCGTGGCAGTTGAGAACTTGACTATACACGAGCAGCCAGGCTCAAAAGATGAGAATGAAACTTGGAAGAAAACAAGTAGAAAACCTTCTAAACAAAGAAAGTACTGCAGAGGGGATGCGGCTGGTTAGTCGGTGATGACTCAGAAAAATGACATTAATTCGTCTTGTGTTGATGTTGGTCTGAAAGTGAGGGGAAAGACGAAAGGGCGTGTCAATGCTTACGTGATAACGGATGACTTGATCCTTCCTGGGAGAGTCGCCGTTGAGAAACCTCGGACTTCAGAACCTCAGAACTAATGCAACGCCTCGCGGAATTGGATTTTGTGGCATCATTGGTTTCGAAGACCGTCATGCAAAGTCATTTGACGATTGACGTTGACAAGCTGCTCACCCACAGCATAATAAATTCGTAGGAATGTACCAGACGTTCCCAACTACAACCTGCATTTCCCAGAGCCTGTCAAAGCTAAAGTGTCAACTTTTCCCCTCCGATGCCCGAGTTTAAGAGGATGCCTCTGGTCGATAAGCTTGGTAACGACAGTGGCCAAAAGGTGATGGCGGCGGCGGCAGGCCTTCAGGACTTGGATTTGAAGGTTTTGAATAAGCCTGGGAGTCCGACGGTCGCATTCCTTGTCCCTTTAGCCTCTGTCGGTTTGGTGTTTTGCGGGTAGATAGTCCCGGCGAGAGACTTCACTCGCCACAACCCCATTTAAGCTCGAGGGGTCCTTACAGCCACGTCGACAAGACATATACTACAGGCCAAAGTAGGGCGTGCGGCTAAGAGGCCCTTTTCTGATTTGACTTCGGGACCATGCCGAAACTTCTCCGAGGGGAAATTTTAGTGTCCTAGTAGCAGCTCTCCTTGAATCCTTTGGAGGCAGCGTCGTTTGGTGGATCGACAGGAGGGAAATTGATGCAGTAGAAACTTGGAGCTTGTGCACAAGGATGCATAGTGCTGGAGTTAATTAAGGGAAGAGGCAAGAGGATACGGAGGAGACTAGCAGAAACAGGCTATCACACAATTTGCAAGAGGCACCCAAGACGAGAAAACTGACGACAAACGTGAACGATTAAATTAATCCTAGTCCTGCCCAAACTTAAAATCTATCTGATGTAAGTAAATCTCTTCGTGGTTGAGCAGGAAGAGGCATTGTTGAACTATGAGAAGAGAAGTGTTCGTATCCACATTCGGTCATATCCGCCGTTGGCAGTCGTCGACGTCGGCCCCCAGCTTACGGGTCGGGGTGGAACTTGTTGGCGACCTCCTCCTCGCCGGGGTTCAAAGTACCATTCGTTACCGCGCCGGCATGAGCCCTAGCGACGATGCCGTAGACGGGGAAGAACCTGTCGATGAAAGGCAGCACCTCGGCAGAGCCAGGAGTGTTTCGCCAATCACGCATGAGGTCGCAGAGGATGGAGAACATCGAGACGACGTTGACGCCAGCACGGGCCATACCGTCGTTAGCATTGTCGCGGATGAGCTTAGAGGTGGTTCCAGAGGCCTCGATGTTGGCCCAGACACTGTAGCCCTCCTCCCGCAGCGAATAGGCCAGGAAAGCGGTGCCTATGTGGTTGCGGTTAGATGATCGACTCTACGGTGGCCTTGTATGGTGAGAGCAGAATAAGGATTGTGGGCTTGACTCACAGACGTCAGTAACAATGCCACCGAGGATAATCTGAGTTCGGTTAAAGCTGCGGACGGCAGCCTTGAAATCCGGGTTATCCCAGGCGTTCACCTCACCCTGACGATGGATAAAGGGCGCATCAGGGTACCAATCGACGAATTCCTTCATCAAAGGACCATTAGGACCTGGTCACATAATCGGTTAGTTGGGAAACTTCTCTCGTAGACTCGAAGAAAGGTTTTTAACCAACCCTGATCGGCGGAAGTGGTCAGGATAACAGGAAGGTCAAACAGCTTTCCGATGGCGCCGTGAGCCAGAACTTGCTCGCGATAGGCAGTTGCATCCCAGTCGCGGGCAAGATTGAAAAGACCGTCTTGGATGTCGACGATTAGGAGAAGCTGTTTCCGGCTTTAGTGGCTTGACATAAAAATGGTGACTGCACCGACTCCTGCATAAGGCAACAAGGTCGAGACCTACCGCATTGTCCTTGTCAAGACGCTCCCAGTGAAAGGCTAGTTCGAAAAATTAGCGGGAGTTTCTTATCGTCAACTGAAATCACATGAAGATTGGTTGGGACGCGTACCCTCTTCCTGACCCTGGCCCGTAGTGGACGCAGCGTGTTGGGGTGCGGGTGCATGGTCAACGCGAACCTTGCCAGCGGAGGCAAGGTGCGCAACCGTGAGCAAAGAAGCAGTGAGTGTCTGGAAAAACTTCATTGTCGCGATGGTGACTAGGGACTAGGGATGATTCTTCAACTTGAGACTGGAGCAAGACCGGGAGGTTGTTGGTGAGAGGAGGTGATTCTCTTTTCGTTGCATCTTCGAGGCGACCCAGCACACGATATATATAGCCAACCGTCCAGAGCCCGAGCCAAGCTAAGTACTGGGATGCCGGGGGTTGCGGCGGAGGCCAATGGGCAGCATCACGATGCTCTCGACAGAGAACTGCATGATTATGATTCTGGTAGTCAGCAGTGCTGGCAAGGCCACTCCGCTCCGCGTGGGACGAACATGTCGGAATGGCCCAATTTCCCATCATTGGAACTAGCTCCGACCGGGTATTATCAAACCATGTGTAAACATGTTTCCGGTCTTTAGTCAATACTTATCCACGGGAATTAATACCCCATAATTGCTCCATTACTCGGAGAAAGAAAGACCATCCCGTCGTCTGGCTCCAACATCCTGGTACCTTTAGAGTTGGTTGAATGGAATTTCCCGCACTCTGAGCTCCCGTTTCCAATACGAACTCGCTGCGGAACCCTAATTTGTGCTCCTAGATCTTGTTTTTATGTCTTTGACTAACAGCTGACGCGCAGTGCGGTAAGCTAGAAATGGACCAATCCCCTCGACAACGTGGTCACCGAAGCGGGACCAAATTAATTATTCTCGCAGCTTGCCACTTAATATACAAGATATGCGTCTAAATGCAAGTCAAGTGGGACCTTCAGTTTTGTCAGGATCGTGAAAGAGTTTGCTAATCTTGTTCCTGTCCCTGTTTCAGGGGAAAATTTTTATTTCGACATTAACAAAACAAATTGGCAGATACTATGCTAATTTGTTCCGCGACGTCTGATGTGGCACCCACGAAGTCCGAAGTTTAAAAGATGGTCAATGTCGATCACAACCCAGAAATCAGCATGAAGAAGAAGGATCAACATCGGACGCGGGGTATGGTCCGTGGCTTGAGCGATCTTCGACGCCTCCTCTTCTTTGGAGGGGAAGAGGGAGGCGGGAGAGGACAGGGATCGGCAACGCAACAGGCTGCTTCCGGCATCGAATGCCAGCGGGTTCGAGTCCACTAATCTCGAACAAGGCTAGATTCTTTCTTCCCATGCATCCGCTCACACTAAATATTTGTAAACTTAGCTCTTCCCGCTGTTCCTGATCTCGATCTGTTTGACATCAATATCTCGCTCTGCCAAGTACAGTTTGACGGCTTGGAGTATTAGCGCCAATCCCGTGAGAAGATCTCCAGTCCAGTCTGTTGTCAGGAAAAGCAACCCGTACATCAATCCTTCCTTATTACGTTATCGCTAAGAGGATCTCGGAGAGGCCGTCCATGTTTGAGGAAGGGGCCAGAGCAAAAGCTACGGCCATGATGATTTGAAAATGCAATTACGAAGTAACCCATCCATTTCCATTCGACCCTCGGCTAGAAGCGGCACCTCAGGAACAGAAAGCTTAAAAAAAACTGATGGAGGGGTTCGGTACCTTAGTACATGGACAAAATTAGTTCAGGCCTGCCCATGTCTCCTCGATCGTGGCGAGTGTGGAGCGGCGAGGCCTTGGGCGCCTTCGAGATTAGCGCGATCGAGAGGTGCTCCCCGCTTCGTCCGATCTCAACAAAAGGATGGATTTGAGAGGACAACATGTCACTACCCGCACCCAGCGATGGCATCATCATGCTTACAAAATCACATCGAGTGATTTAGTGACTGGCGACTAATGCACTGGATTCCGGCGAGGCCGTGCTAAGGGCCTGATCCAGAGGATTCCTCTTCGACTCCAATGGCAGTGTGCAGACAAGATGTAGATAAAGCGAGAGGCGGTTTGAAGAGGGTCAATTGATATTGTTCGCCCTCAATCGTAACCTTAAATGGCTTTTGCCCCAGGCACATCAGGTTCTTGTGTGGTGCGTATTAAGTTACACTAAGTTTTAGTCAGGTCAGGGAAGGTAGTTCTCGCCTTCATCAAGGTTCTTAGATTGTCAACCCCACGACCAGTGACGACTTTCAGCCCTCGGTACACTCCTTTGTGAGATCGCACAGTCTCCTCCCAATGTCGGCTCCCAGACCAGCTCACTCCAGTCTCAACCGACTAGAACAAGCCCTTTAAAAAGAAATAAAAATGGAGCGAAAAGACGAAATGTAAAAGCAAGGAGATCATACGTCCTAGGCCGCAAACTTATCAGCTTGTCAATCCTCGTGCTTGCCAATGGCTTCACATCAGCCTACTCACCATGATTTTCACCTCGTCGGTTAACACTATCATAAGCTTCACCCTTCGATAGTACCTGACACTTTTTGACGTGAGCCGTTGTGTATAACCTTAACCTGTCACACCTCCATCGGCTCCTGAAGTTAAATTCCTTAGGCTAGGGCTAGGAATGTAGCGTCGACTCTGTTCGCAAGCCCATAATTTGTGTCAAGTTGGGTCTTTCTGTCGGGAATACGACTACCTGAACCCCGAAAGTGAGCAGAATCGTGGTAATACGAGGGTGTACCTTCGTATTGTGACCTCTCATAATAAGACATTAACTTCATTGCCGGTGAGTGAATGACTACAGTCCTCACCCCAAATTGCCTGATCCTGGAGCTGGGTTTGTTCCTCTCGTATCGGCTTCACTAAATTTAAGGTATTTCGTGTCTTTTGCACCTCTTGGCGTAGGCCCCTGCGTCTTTTCTTTCCTTTCTTGTTTCTGTCTTCTTCTTTTACAATTTTCACATGGAAAAAAAGAGAAAGAGTAAAGAAGAATGAGGGAAAATGTTACAGATTAGGGCATGCCGCCGCTTAGTATCAGTAATCTTAATAAGTGACGTTGACGGCGGGTAAGAGTATGTATATATGTATTACTATGATATTACAGTTGCCCCTGTTCCCCAGGACGACCATGCATGCTCTATACAAAGGGGTTATACGATCATGTTGTGAAACATCACAAAACATATTAGGCTTCGCAGACAGGTATTCAAAGACGTACCATACTTAGGCCATAAGAATATATGACCGAAAAGAACATAGAGGAAACCCTAGAATCTCTAACGTAGTGAACTCGTTTGCGGATCTACGCGCCAGCCAAGGGAACTTTTGGGCTATCCGCAGCGGCCATAAACATTCTACAAGGATGCCATATTCAGAGCTGAGAAGTAGGGTCGCCAACAGTCACAGGTATGTTAATATTTAGAATATGCCTTGGGGCTGAGGTTGTATGGGTTGGAGCGAGAGACACTTCCTGGCCGATTATGCTAGGACCCCATGGTGAAGTTATGTTTTGGGAAGTTGCGGACAGTGATCTATGCGCCCTTCTCCCAGTAGCCCCCCTTGCAAGGGTAGACGTAAGCCGCTTACCGAATCCTTCTGCTGACTCCCGGCGACTCTTTTCCACCTTTATTCCGTGCTGATGGGGATGCCTCCAAGGGGAACCCCATGGGGATTCCCTCTTACTTCTCTGTCGCTACCTAGTTCCCCATAAGGAGCTGTGGCAGGAAGACTTGTAGCAAGCCAATCGAGAGCAACGGGCTGCAATTGGATTCTTGGCCTATCGGACTCACCGCCTCCCTACAAAATACCTTCTTTCTAGGCTCCGTGAAGATGAAGAAGGCTCTTCATACCAGATCGGCCTCCATTGTAAGCCATCGGTTGAAAGGCTTGCATTTTAGTACTCGAGGGGAATCAAGACTGAACGATAGGCGAGGAAATTTTGTGGAAAATTTGTCTATAAATACGCAGGATACCTCCTTCTGTGGACGCGGACAGCTCTGTCGTAGTCTCTATCACTCAGAGATCAGCTTGGAAACCATACCAACAACATAACATCTCAAATCCCAAACCCAAACAATTTCCTACTCTTCCAAAAGCTCCTTTCGTCAGAGTATTCAAAATGAGGGCCCCCATCATCACTTTCATGGCCGTAGCGTAGCTGTTGTTGCCGTTTCTACTGTTGAGCCACCCGAGCTTGCGGCAAGATTCGCTGACGGCAAGTCTACTAACGGGGCCTGATGGCGAGGTTACTTTTCCTTTTGGTGGAACCTGGGGATATTAACATGGAGACCACCATCAGCCGATCCCACCAAGAGAGCTGCGGCTGCGCTCGATATCGAGACTAGAGCCCATCTGAATCAATTCATGGAGCACTTCGAATATGTACTGGTAAGCATGAGGGGCTGGAGAAACGTCAGTTTGAAGTATGTCCCTTCAATGAGTGCGTGGGCAGATGCAACTTTGCTTCGCCTTTCTGTTCAGTGATTTCTGCGACTGGAACACCCACGGCTGCATTGGCGGGTGCTGTGTCGTGCGGATGTTGAGGCCCTGGAGAGATGTCAAATAGCTTTCGACTCGGGTTGGCCAATTAATGTTGCTTCTCGGGTTCAAGGGGCTCATTTCAGCACCATCGCTAGCTCTTTGAAGCAAGATGAGGAGTGGGAAGCAGACCAAGAGATTTTGATTATACCAGAATGCCCTAAATTTATATGTCATTTGTGACTTCATTCTCCTCGGCATAGACCTTCCAGGGTCATCCCGTTCAATCCCGCGAAAAGAAACCGTCCTGCCACCACCAGTAACCTCACGGAACCTAAACCATTTCGGGGATACTGGACCCCGCTCTGGCCCCCAATTCCGACACCTTATTCCCGACTTCTCTTGCCGACTCCACCATGTTAAAAAAGTAAATGCCGTCACAATTATTACATGTATGAAGGATGGCGACAACATAATTTGCTCTTCCCAGGACTCCAATTCGTCTGGGCACATCGAGTCGGCGGGCACGTCACCGACATATCGAGTCGAAACATATGCTCTCAGTTACTAGTTGCGATCAAATTGTACGCATTACTCAATTCTGAAGATGACCGTTCCGATCCCAAGAGTTCAACAGGCCGCGGTGATCGAAAACCCCGGCGAGAATGTCAGGATCCGGATCCGTCACGATATCCCAGTTGGTGAGCCTGGCCCCCACGAGGTTCTAGTCAAGCTAGCTTTCACTGGGCTCTGGTAAGCATGATGCCATTCTCATTCTAATTTGGACCGGCACCCGGTTGAAAGATGGCTCCCGCGATCTGACAAGATATCCCTCCAATCTAGCGGTTCCGAGGTTAGGGCGCTTCACGGATGGGGTCCGTATAAACCAATCGTCGGCCATGAGGGAGTGGGAATCGTTGTCAAGACCGGGCCGGGTGTCGCAGAAGCCATGATTGGTCAACGAGTAGGGATTAAGTGGCTGTACAGCGCCTGTGGAGAATGTACGATATGCCAGAGGGGTTTCGAGAACAATTGCCCGAAGCAGGTTAACACTGGCCGCGGGGCCTCTGGAACCCTGCAGCAATACGCCGTGGCCGATGCCCGGTATGTGACGAGGATTCCTGATGGAGTTCCCGGCGAAGTCGCGGCGCCATTGCTCTGCGCTGGCCTCACTATGGCGGGCGCTATTAAGAAACTGGAAAATGTGGCGGACAATGACTGGGTCGTGGTTTGTGGTTCTGGAGGCGGCCTCGGCCACCTCGGGGTCCAACTGGCGAGCAACAGCAGACTCGGCCGCTTCCGAACCATCGCCGTTGATTCGGGGGAAACTAAGCGCGACCTTAGTTTGAAATGTGGAGCTGAGTACTTTGTGGACTTTGCTAGCGAGGATGTTGAAGCGAGAGTGAAGGAGATTACGGGAGATGGGGCAGGAGCTGTTCTCGTGGTTGCCGGTTCCGAGGCTGCGTTTGTCCTTGCCCCGAAATTAGTGAGCAATATGGGAGTCATCGTCGGCATTGGACTCCCCCGAAATGATTTTACCATTCCGCTATCTGCAACTCTTTGTTCTGCTCGAGGTATTTCTCTCCTTCCGTTTGATCGAAGGCAACGAAGCTAACCTACTCTCCAGCCCTTACCGTCACTGGAGTCGCGACAGGTACTGAGAAACAGATGGGGGAGCTCCTGCAACAGGCTGCGAACGGGGACATAAAGCCCTCACTCGAAATTCTAGAGTTTGACGAGGTGCCAAATATATTTGAAAGACTGAAGAAAAATACCGTAACGGGACGAGTTGTAGTTAAGATCCCTCAATGAGGAAGCAAGAACACGCCTGCTTTGGCGCTCATCTTTCGAGAACATCCCCCACACTTCCGTGAACTCAATGGGAAATAAAATTCTTGAAAACCGGGGAAACTACCCTCATTAACACAGAGATAGAAGACATGCCTTCCGTACGCAAATCGGCTCGGCTGTAAGCGGGCGTGGATGGGCGTGATGGGGAAAGCTCACTCCCTAAAAAAAAAAAAAAAAAAAAAAAAAAAAAAGGTGGAGACAATCCCGCTCAGCTCGCGACAAGAGTGATTACAATGTAGTTAATTGGCATCTGATATGCTTAATCAGCCCGACAGCCGACAATAGTATCCTTCGGCTTTCTGACCCGGGAGTCCGGGGTCATTTGGTGATGACGAAACAGCGTCGAGAGAGTGCTCGCTCGTGCTCCAGTCAGCATTTTCAACTTCTACTCTTACTTACTTCGGTCCTCAACACAAACCGGCGCCAGAAGTTGAGGCCGCCGAGCATGGTCTCATGCATCTGGTTGCCAGGCGGCGAAGTCCGTATGCCCATCGTTTCCAACTGCATACGATTATTTTCTTTTCTTTTCTATGCCCCATGCCTAAGGCCTCCTTCGGCCTTGCAGGAGAAGGTCGCCTTGGCCGAACCGAGTGGGGACGAAAGATATGATACTATTTTCAGGTGCTGGAAGTCCGGGTAATACCAAGTAGATAAGCGGACGACACGACAAGAGTTTCATTTCCTACCATCCATGGGATGCACTTGGAATAGGCCCAAAATAAGTCTCGCCAAGGGAACTGTCGCTCGTTTCTTCACGGGACACGGAGCTCGGGGCAGACTTTAGGCGTACTATAAAAAACCAATATCATTCTCAGCCCGGCCCAGCTTTCCTTCAAAAACACCGGGACGGGGTTCAAGAGAAGATGAGGTGATTAGCAGACCGTAAGATTTGTTGCCTTTTACGGGTCTGGACAAATAGCCGAAAGATGTCTGCTGGGTCTGGATGGCAGCTATCTCGAGGTTTATCCTAAACAATGGGACGGTTATTTAGAGACACGGGAAAGCCAATGCAGAGCGAAGCCGGGTATAATCTAATGATGCTAATAATATATACAAGAGTCCAGTTTCCCCACTTGGCACCATGTTGTGATAGTGGGAGGATTACGCCGACATTTAAAGGGAGGGGGTCACCTTTGCTTTTTGCTAGAATTTACACTCTACGTTGAAACCGTACTTCTTTGCTCCCGTTCCCTAAAACACCGTCTCGGCATTCTTTACTATCTCAGCTGTTGCGTGGCTCAACACCCTTTGTTAGTTCGGATTAGTCTCCACCAGCTTTCATTTATCCACCAAGCCGCCCAGACATAATCGTACCTGAGAGCCTCAAAAAACACGGGCGTCGCCCACCAGCTCCATCAATGACCTCTCCTCGCAAGCTCCTCCTCGCGCTAGGCCTCGTCCTCATTCCTGTTCTTGCGCAAGAGGTGACCGTTACCGTCACCCAAAATGTCTACTTTACCGCTACCGAAATAACAACCACCTCTGTCCCGGTGTCAAGAACACAATACGTTAGAACAATAGAGACGGTGACGGTGACAGCAGGGGGTGGCGGTGGGGGTGGCCTCGTATCGACCGAGACAGTGACCGTGACTGTTGAGGGAGGCGGCGGTCTAGTTTCTACAACTACGGAAACAGTGACTGTGACCGAGAAGGGGCCGGCGTCCACGAAAACAGTTACCGAAACCGAGACCGAGACCGAGACTGAAGTAGAGACGGTATACGACGTCGAGACTGAGAAAGTTACTGTCACTGTTACTGTTGGAGGAGATGGCCGAGGCATCACAGTCGGTCGCGCCCAGCCTACAGGGGCTTGAATTCCTGGGGGTCCGACAGGCCGCCCACAACACCAGAACTCGGTAGGACTGGAGGAATAACCGCGATTGGACGACCGATCCGCTTCGCTGTGATATTATATTCTCTGTTGGTTGAACAGCGGTCCTGGAGAACGCCACATGTGCCGGGTATCATTATACTTTGAATCACTCTTCGTAATTCTATAAATCTCTTCTTGTTAATTCTTGGTATTTCTTCCAACGCACAGTGGAGTGACATGAAGAAATGGCCTGTCCGCTGAACAGCCTAGCCTGCAACTCGGGTCAGGTTAGGATAACAAGGCCCCCTTGTAAATGGCAAGTCCGCGTATACTGATCCATGAGGTATTAACACCACATAAAATCCGAGAAGTGACCGAGAGCTGCGGATTCATCACCATCAAAGAGGCCGTGGACCGCGTCCCATCCTTCGCGCAGTTGTGCTATGGACAACCATTTCTGCCTCTTACTTTCAATTTCCTGGAAATTCTGACTATCCTCTGGCGGGAGTAACCCACAAAGCCTCAGAAGTTCGTCGGGCGATACTGTTCTTTTGTTATTCTTGACGACGTATCTTGCAACTGCCGATGCGAACAGCGCTTTCATCGGCTGCTTTGGCTTGCACTTTTTCTTCCGCAAAGTGCGGCGGGGCTGAAGGATATACTCCTTGTGGACGTAATGATCTCGCTCGACGAAATGAGTGACAATGTAAATCCACTTTTCATCCCAAGCGAGGATGCGAGTCCAAAGCTCATAGGGTTCGTATGGCTTTATCTCCCTGCGCCAAACGCACTGGGCGCCGCCTAGTATTATGACCATGTGCCGAGGCCCTGGGAAAGGGTTGAATTGTTTCCCAAACAGCACGAGGGCGAGATTGCTGCGCGACATGTCGAGGTCAGTGAAGTAGGTCGAATTGGACTTGTGTAGGTTGTAGTCGCATTCGAGCATCGGGGCGCGGGTGGCGCTGACGGCGGGCAGGTAGAGACATCGGGGACTGAGATATTTGGCTGGCGCCGGATCGGTGATGCGGCGGATGATGGTGCGAAACGTCCGGACCTATTGAAATTTATTATTTGTTAGGTTGATGTCCGGATGATGATGCCAGCTGCAGGGAAATTGGGGAACTCAGATTCCACGTACATGCCACATAAGCGGGAGGTTTTTAAGATTGAGAATGAGAGAGAGGACCAATGCTGTTCTCAAGGTCAGAAGAAAGAGCGCATGCTCGACGATGAAAGCAGTCCATGCCCATGCTCCAAGGGCGAGCACTGAGAGAGCCGAGCTCATTCTGGCCAGGTGAGTTGAGGTTTTGTTGAAGAGACGAGTAAAAATTTGAAGGAAGACAAGAAGATACTCGATAATTTATCCATACTGGCCTCGTCGCCGATTGACTCTTGGCCAATGAGGTGGGCATCGAGTAACGGTTTTGAGGTGGGCAAGGATTGGTCTAAGCCGCAATGAAGGATCAGAGGAAGCGAGGAGGCGACCACCTATGTGGAGGAAGAGCACTGGTTGTCGCCTTTGCTTACTCCTTTTGTTACTCAGCATATCGATAAAGAATTACGTCCTATATTAGTAGTGCCATGTAGCCATTTCCACTTGTCGACATTTCCTGGGCGAAAATCCCAGACGGCCCGACTTGGCTGGCCTCCTGGTATATTCCTGGTATATGCGTCATTGCCGCTGGTAGTGATCCGCATATTTTACAGACAGGAAACGTTGTAACTCAGCTCCAGAAATATAACAAGCTCATTGGCAGGACTAAGTTGAGTGTGAATCTCACCCTATCTGCTTTCTTCGCTAGTGGCGGTGGTGAGGGCTGGCGTTGACGTCCCCCAAGCCCATCATTCTGAAGCAGGCACAGGGAGGTCCACCAGTAGACAGAACCTCCCTCGATAGGTAAAGATTGGAAAGTCAACAGCATCTGGTAAATCTTCATCGACCTTCTCATGTGCCGAATACTAATTAAACGCATCGAAATTAGACACCATCCAATCCTGAGCTATCCACTAAAGAAGACATCCACAAGCGAATATTCGTGAAGAAGGGACCGCATCGATATCATCTATCTAAACTGCGGTCTGTGGAGGCCAAGGCTAATGTACGTTGGTCATATCCTATTGATGGTGGCCTAAGTGTTCGAACAGAAATGTGGCGTCTTCCCTTCTACCATGCTCCTGAATCGCTGGCTCAGGAGAGGGTGGGATTCCCCCCGTTAATTGGCTGTGATGGGATCGTCACGAGTCGCGATTGATGAGACAGGGAAAAAAAATAAGTAAATAAAAGGGGAAGCGGGCTTCTTTGAGAAGGCGCCGGCTTTTCCTTGACTACAAAGTGAGATTTCTGGGCCATATCTTATAAGTTCCTCGATTATACCTGCACTACGCTTGCCCCTTGGTCATGATCGTCAACTTATTCCTCCAGGTGATATTGCAAGGCTGATCGTTCACTGCACCCTAGTCATAAACAATGTAAAGGCGATATTTTATAGGTTCAGAAGATGCCTGGACTATATCAACACAATTAAGACGACCTGCCACTATCGATTTCTACTTTAACTTCGTTTTTGATGATAATAATTGGTGCGCCTTCATGATAGAATGTGGGGAAGCAGTTATGAATAGATTAGGACGATAGATCTGCCGACTTGGCCTTCGCCAAGAACTGGATAATGACAGGCAGGATGTGGAGGAAGACTAACAACGCACACCGAAATGGCAAGACAACCTCAGCAGCGACTAAGCACAGCCAGTCCATGATATAGCCACTAGATTATTATCCCATATGTATTAACCACACGTTCCTTGTTACCCTATTAACTAGGTTCGGCAGTTGTATGATCGTGGGTCTATATATATCTGGTCGGCTGGCCCTTTGGCAACTCCAGGTTCTTGCTTCCACCACAGCCAAGTTTGCCGCGCACGATCTGCCAGGATTGCCAAGATGAAGCAACTATTTTTGAGCACTGCCTCTCTGGCATGGACCGTATTGGCCTACACCGACATTCGACACCAACGGTTTATGGTCAAGAATATTGATCCCATCATCTTCCCCGGGGAATATGTGTCACATATGCATTCCTTCTTTGGTTCTGACGCAGTCACCAAAGATATGCCTACTACAGAAGAGTTGCAACAAGGGTGTCCGTCAGGCGAGAACCCCAATGACTTGTCTATCTACTGTATGCTCCCCTCATCATTCCTCTGGCGTGGGTACTCTATTTTCCTTGGATGGCAACTCACCATAGTTTATACAAGGGATCCCAACCCTCTATTATGTCAAGGGAGACGAGTTCGTCGAAGTCAACCCCATGATGTTTAGCACCTATTACGAAAACATCGACAAGGCCGAGATTCCCTTCCCTAAGGACTTTTTCGCCATAGCTGGAAATGCCACCGCCAAAAGCCAGTCCGATATCGACGAAAACATCAATGGACTCACTTGGTGGTGCGAAAATGGTCCCGAGGACAGGACGAAGAGACCTCGGGCCACTTTCCCCCAAGTCACCTGCTCGACTCACATCCAGGCCATTCTCCGATTCCCGGATTGCGTGAACCCCAGCGATATCACCGAGTACGGCTACGCTGCAGCGTCTGGCGGAAATTGCCCTGCTCCTATGAAACGAATGCCTCAGCTTCGCTTCTCGATCCGATACGATGTTCGGAGTCTCATTCCGCAAGGATGGAATGGACCGCCACCTCTGAAGCTGGCCTGTGGGGAGGTAAGGAATACTTCACGCAATGCTACCTGTTTAACAATTGTTATACGAAGGCATCCCGCTGCTAACGAACCATGTACAATTAACATAGGTCGGAGAGGGCTACTGCTTTCATGGAGACTTTATCAACGGGTGGTTTGATGATGCAGCACAGAACCTGATGAAAGCAAAGGACCGCCGGCAATGGATGAGAATAGATGGGGCAAAGGGACAGGGAAAGGCAGGAAGCCAATGTAAGGCGAAAGATGCGGATCCTGAGAACGGGACAAGTGACTACAAAAAGAGTTTGGACATGATGGGGAAAATGCCTGTAAGCCAGGATTGAACAACACTTGAGGGTATGTAGATCCCAATGTGCCCGGTAGCTTAACTGTAAGGCGTATCGAATCCGGACTACGTCAGAGAAGAGAGAGTTTATCGCGTCAAGATCAAAAGAACATCAATTTGAAATTATGGTTAATCACAACCTTGGCTTATCGCTTCGTCCTTCATCAGACAGTACCTGTTTCCAGGATCTTAGGACAATTCCCTTATAACATTCCTCGGCTCATGAGTCATGGGATGTCACCGTTACTGTCTCCGCCATTGACTTCCAAAGCAGTCGCCTGCTTCGCCAAGCCCCATCCGTCTCTCAATCCATCGAGCCATGTCGAGATGGGAACGACGTCTCCGCCAACACGCCGTCCATCTTCAAGATGACCACCAACACGCACATTCCCAAACAAAGGTCCAAGGTAACTCTCTCTGTCCCACTTGGGAAGATACAACCAGTCGTGAGTCTTGTTACACACAGTCCCATCTGCTGGTTGAGGCCAGAGCTTGTCCTCCTTCAGAAGCTGCAGACATTCGTTACAGAATCCTCTGTCGAGACAATACTTGCAGAGATTTATCGGCATCTCAAAGTCCCACTTCCTCTTGCATGGGCCGTCGCACTGGAACCAAAATGTCGAGAACGCTTTTAGCTTCGAAAACTGGGCTAGCTTCGACTGTATTCCCTGGCAAGCGGCCTTGAGCTTTGTTTCCTCCTCGCCAGTGTCCTTGGAATTGGAAAGCCTCTTTTCTACTTCCTTGGAAACAAACTGGAACTGCTCGTCCAATGTAGTTAACGATGGGTCGTTGCCGAGGGCGACAAGTAGTTCTCGGCTGAGGCTCTGCTCCGGGTCAGTCTCGAAGTCTAGCACCCAGTTCATGACCGATGTCCCGCCTGGCGGGGGTAAGAGGAGGGAAAATCCAGAGAGGGCATTAAGTAGGTCACCGCGTCTCATCAAGATACTCGCGAGATTGTAGTAGCCTTCCCAGTCGTTTTCATCTGCGTCATCCGAAAGCATCTCAAAGGCAGATTCGATGAGAGCCTGCGCAAGGGCCTTAGAATCAGAGTCATTGCCGCTGACGGAGTAATAAGATAGGAGGTAGGATTTTGACGTGGTCAAGTCATGCTGTCTCTCGGCCTTGACGAGAGATTTGAGTTTCTCAAGGTGCTCTTGCTGATTCGCGGGGTCTTGTGAGGTTCTCGCCTGCTCAAAATAATGCGAACTGAGCAACGTGCTGGCCAGTTGAAGATGCCACGTATTGTACCCGGTATCAAAGTCTAAACACTTGCGCCAGCAATCAAGGGCAGCGGCTCTAGACGAGGCGGCTTCGGCTTCGACGTTGTAGTGGTAGATGGCAATGCCTTTGTAAAGCTGTGCCACGGTCAAAAAGTGTAACGTGTTTTCCTTTTCGGCTTTGCGTATTATATCATCGATCGCCAAGAGAAGATGAGCGAAGAGCTCAGAGTTTCGAGATGCGACCGACAGGAATTCGCCAACTGTAGCGCTGGTATTCCTGGACATCAATTCCTCGATAACTTGGCTGAACCAACTTGCCTTTCCCGGTGTCGTCTGGCGCGCCGAGAGGTCGAGCAACAACTCAATCGCCGCCGGTTCGTCATCATTTTGGAGCAGCGCCAGGAGAAGTTCCGAAAGTACAACGTGGTCCTCTGGTGCCAAGGCAAGCGCTTTCCGCATGTACTCAATAGCTCGCTTCGGCTGCTGGAGTTCGCTGTACCACTTTGCGAGCTGAATGTAGTTCTTGCCGAGTCTCGCATCGTCTTTGGGATCCTCGCTCTCGAGGATCTGAACCGCCTTGTCCACTTCTTGACAAGCCTCCAGGAACTTCCCGTCCCTTGCCAGTGCGTTGGCTAAGCCTTCGAGGCATGTTGCGCTCGGGTTGCCACGGTCAATTGCCCTCTTGAATTTTTCGATTGCTTCAGCCACCTCATCCAGTTCGTAGTGAGTCTGCGCGAGGCGTTCGTCCCATACAGAATCTGGCTCCGTGACACCAAGTATTTCTTGACACCAACTCGCCACCTCATCAACGGTACAAGGGTCCTTCTGTTGGGAACTCTTGACGCTGCCGGCATCGCTACCATCATCCCCAGCTTCCGGAGGATTACGTTCCTTGGGAGGCTCCTAATAAATAGTGTTAGTGTCTCCAATTCCAGCCCCTGGACGCGAAGGGATAGATGAGAGACAGAGGGGAGAGAAGGGGGGGAATTGCATACCATTCCCAAATAGTCCCGAAGCCACAGGTATGCCTGCTTGACTTCCCATTCCCTATCTTGGACCCAGTGCTGGGCGACTGTTTTCATGACCTTCTCCAACAAAGCATGATACGGGTTGCTATTGGAAGCAACTTCTTGGAGCCATTCCCGATCCAGTCTTCCAAGATGGCGAACGACGGATGGCTCCTTGAGCCACCCAAGGAATATGTCCAGTTCGTCAGGGGCACGATACCAAATCAGATCATGGCAGCTATCCCAATGGGTTTCAATCACTTCGCCGGACACAAAGAGCGAGAAGAGACCGTCGCCGATCTCTCTCTTCTCCAGAGGAGTAAGGGCGTCGAGCTCGGTGGCCTTGTCCAACGCCTCCAGGTGTTGGGGAAGGTAATTGAGTAGGTAACTCCCTAAAGCTTGTGTTTTGGGGTTCGGTGGCTCAGCGAGAAGATCAAATGTACGTCGCACTATCGCGAGGTGCGCGTCAAACTCGTTTGTTTGAATAGTTCCCTTGACATTTTGGTGTTCCTCGAGTTCTTGAAATCCAAAGTTATCCTGGGCCGTCTTCTGCATGAAGCTCCATAGGAAGGACTGCACGCTTGACAAGTCCGCCTTGGTGATTGTGATCGTGGCGCTAAACTTGGGCGTGTCATCTACGTTTCGCGGTTCGGTCCTCTCCTTCTTAAGCAAGTCTTCCATGCCATCAACGATACTCACAAAACCGTTGCTGTATACCTCGAAGATGCTCGCGTATTTCCCCTTCAGCTTTTTTTCCAGCTGGAGCATAGATCGAGTTTTAAATCGCAGAAACTAAAAAGATTTAAGCGCGTCAGATCAAGATACTCAAGTTATTGTGACAAAGGGACACACCGGGGGCGATCTCACCAAAGCCGCATTGAGTTGCTCGATATTGAAATAGACAGAGCCAAATATTACCCATATCAGCAGCTCGTTCAATTCGTTGATTTCATCTGGCCGCAGTGTGTCTTCCAGTTTCTTGAGGGCGATTTGGGAAATAGCCTTTTCATCCTTGTTCGACTCTTCAAGAATCGTGTCGACCTCGGATTCCAGCCCATCGGCCGCGACAACAGCCTTGATTTTCTCCAGGGCACTCCTCACTTTGTAGTAGTTTCCTCCTAGTTCAGTAGACAACGTCTCTCGAATTTTGTCTCGTATTCTGGTCGAGTCCTCATCATCATCTTGGAGGATATCGTCGTTCTTGAGCTCGTTGTCAATGTAAAGGCGGATATCGCCGTCGTTATGTTTCTCAACGTCGATCTTGGAGTAAACCAGATCCTGACCCATCGCCTCAAGGGTGCTAGGCCTTACTGATAAGAGGACTCGAACGGGAGAGTGGGCAGAGCCGAGGGTTTCCAAGACAGAGAAAAACTGTTCTCTGCTTTCCTTGTACGATTCGGGTAGAGAGGCTAGGCCGTCGATGACCAAGTAATGTGCGACTCTTCCCTTCGGGGCACCAATGCCAAAGAAATCCCAGAGCTCTTGGCAAGAGGCATCCCTCATGAACTTCTTGATATCCTCTTTGGCATCGCAGCTCTGCGATATTCTCTTAGCGTAGGCAGAGTCCGCCTCAGCGAACTGCATGGCGATGCATTTCAGAGCAGTTTCTATTGGCCGTTTGGTAGTGTCGTTCTTTTCGATGCTGCTGGGGAAAAAGTAGCTTGCAACCAAGGTTCGGGGCGACTGCCTGTTAGGGGCCTTGTATACGGCTCTCAAGTGGTGGACAACAGAAGACACGACGAATGATTTTCCAGTATTGGAGTCCCCGGTCAAGAGAAAGAGCGCATTGGCTTCGGCGTCATCTCTTTCGGCCCATTTGTGAAAGTCCGGGTGCTTCTCGCGGTCCTCAAACCAAGCTGCCGTGTCTGCAATGCAATCACGGTAGAGGTTGTCGCAGATGGTTTTGGAATCTTTAATGACGCTGTCTTCAAGGTCGACTTTGTCTTTGATATTTTGAAGATGGTTCCGCCTCGTCTCATCCGACTTGCGCTTGTCGTCTGCGTCTTTCAGATGGGCGACGTAGACTGCAATTTCGTCGATGCGCAGGCCCGTTTCCGATGCTTTGTCTAGAATAGTGGTAAGGCTGCTGTTGGTTTCGAGCACGACCTTGAGGGTCTGCGTGGCTTGAATTGAAGTGTGGGCGGCCGTGAGGCTTTTGAAATTCTCGATCTCGTCTTTGACGCCGGAGTCCTTGTCCAGAAGAACTAGGCTGACCGCCACCTTGAATTTCTTCCATCGCCCAGAATCTCGCAGCTTTATGGATAGCGAACAAATATCGACGAAGCTTATCATGAGCTTGTGAATAGCTTGCTTCAACTCGGGTTCAATTTCGTTAAACTGTTCGATTCGTTCATAAATTCTGAACATGCTGAGGCCGGGACCCAGAGTTTCAAACAGGCCATCTATTGCCTGGTGGAAGGACTGAAGCTTCTCCGGAATGTCCAGGAGCAACGAGAGTGCGTTGAAACAGAGGCTCGACGGAGGAAACACCTACGGGTCCATCTCAGTAAGAATACACCATGAATGATAACAAGAAGTGAGGCAAGTTCACCCACCATATCAGCACCCTGCGCGGCCACGCCACCGAGGAGTTTCAGGCAGCGAATGATATCGATGCCAAATTCCTTGGCTTTTTCAGTACGCGATGACGTGTTAAATGAAGAATTGGCCATCACTGGTTGCTGGCGCTTCTCAATCACGCCCACACAGTCGTCCAACGTCTTAGGCGGTTTCAAATCGAGCGACAGGCCGGTACGATCGGCGAACCTCGCCGAAGCATCCTGCCACATGCTCTTCATCGTGAGATCTTGAGCCTTGTAGGCCCCATCTTCTGCGTCCATGACGTCCTTCTCGGGAAAATCGGGATATCTCACGCCACGAAGAAAATTTCGAATCAGTCACGACCGGGCTGGGGTCGCTGCGACGTGATGCGGAGCCCGAAGGTTCGTTAGGGGGTATGCGCGACGCTTCTGCGAAGGAATGTGCAATGCTGGCGCTGTTGGAACCAAAATGAAAGATGCACTGAACTCCCTGCTCACGAGGATCGTGGTGGCTCGACTCAGTTGAGAGAAAGCCGTTGAGGCTGCCCGATTTTCTTCTCGCTCCTCGTCGATCCCTTGCTCTAATAAATAAATACGAAGTACTTCGTACCCTAATAATATTTCTTCGAGACCCCTGCCCCCCCTCTCGCTCAGACTCTCATCCTCACTCACTCGCAGCGACTCAGCATCGTTCCACACTGGCAGTCTGATCCTTCGTGCACAGGGGGTAGAGACCAATGGAGGCACAAGTGCATGCTGACGTGAGATTCAGCTCCGCCCTGCACCAATCAGCCTGGTTGGGGAAATTGCTTGGCGATCCTGGGAGTATCTTTGTACATACACAGTACATAGAACTTTCTCTCAATGCCAAGGAAATGCGCCCTTCAGGCGGGGGTCGGAGCCCTTTTTCGGACATCCTAATAACCGTTTTCTTAACTATCGTGACATTTTCTTTCGAGCTATCCGATTTCAGAACGTTTTCTGTGGCACTCGGCCCACAACCGGACAGTCAGGTGGGGCGGGGGATCTGGCGCGTCGGGTCAGCCCTAATGGGAAGATTAGCCGAATCTATCCCGAGCCCACTAAGTAGTCTCCGGTAGCGTTTCTTTTTACGAGAAAAAAACTTGTCCAATTCCAAGCGACGTTTTGAGCCGTGCTTCCTCCTCGCCAGTTTTCGTCCCTTTCCTCTTCACGAACGTTTCCAAGGACCAAATCTACAGCGATGTCCTTTAATCCAGAGAGGGTTCCGCACTGCTACTATTGCGGACGGGCGGGAGTAACTAGCGAGACATGCCCCAACAAAACCCACCCTCGATGCGGCACCTGCGGGTACTGCAGGCAGAAAGGCCATAGAAAGGTGGATTGTCCAACGATACCACCTTGCCGCTTTTGCGGTCGGAAGGGTCATAAATCAGAACGCTGCTATTCTCGCCCCGCTCAGAACACCATTGGCCAGCAACCCCATCAGAACAAGGGTTCATCGCAGTCACAATCTAAGGAACGCCGACCACTGGGGAGACAAGAGCCAGCCCTCGGGAGGCCGTCTCTGCCATCAGCCTCTGTGAGGACTTTTAGGAAATGGGCATCTTTGAATGCCATTGTGGCTTGTCCTAGCGTGCCTGAAGTTATCAAAGAGGGCGATGTCGTATGGAACCCTTAACCTTTCCCTCGTATAATTCTTCCTTCTACATTATAGAAAATACATCTAACCAGACTCCAGGATGGGTTTAACATCATATCTAAAATCCAATTCCCTGATATGGTGAATATTATTAGAGAATTGGTGAATAAACTTGCCGAGGAGACCTCAATCGATCGCCCTCGCGAGACGCCAATTTGCCCAGAACTTGTACAATCCAGGTATAGGGAGTGGCTCCGGGCAATTGGGGGCATCGAGAAGGTTGTCAAGACCGCCGTGGGTTTCATTGACCCACGCATTTTCGAACTTCGCGACAGTGTTCTTACCCACGAAAGGCAAGTTTGATATAACCGCCTTTCCAAAAGCTGCGTCTGCTAATAATGATTGTAGGCTGCTCGATGTATATGACTCACAGAAGCGCGACGCCGTGCCTTGGAGTGATTCCGCTGGTTATGTGAACGTTGTCAAAGACGCTCGAAACCAAGACTACCTACGTTTCTATGTTGGGCAGTCTCGCGAAATTAGGAGGCGCATTCCCTATCATATTTCAGAGATCCTCAGCGGTTCCGCGAATTCACTCCACTACTTTATCTGTTCCAGAGGTCGTGGCTTTCGATCGGCAATGTTCGTCAGACTTTAGGAAACCCCGACAACGTCCGAGAATCCCGATACCTCTTACTTCTCTAATATACTAGAGATGGCATTTTGCCGAGCTTTCCAGTCTTTACCAGCGAAAGTACTGGAGGATTCCTTTGGACCTCCAGGAAATGGCGGCAAGTACGCTAGCGTGGGTCTCAATGTTATCTCTCCCCTTTTGCAGTCGCAGACCTCTGCATTAGATGAGATGTCAAAGCTTCCATTCCTGGCAGCGTTATCCTCATCCCCAGACCCTGAAATCAAGCAGTGGCTTCAAAACAGAGGGGCAACTCGGCAGTCTCATACCCAGATCTTAGCGATGAGCAAAAATCGCCTTGGCCCAAACTGTATTCAGTCGCTGATTTCGGCCATGCATCATTTGCAAAACCCCCCGGACCCTACATCCTTTTCTTCTCAGAGTCCAGACGATGATGGCGATTCAGCAAGTCGTGCACTGCAAACGATATCGGAAACATGGAAGGCTACTACTGAGAACCGGATTTCATTCACCAATCCTTTTGGCTTAGCATCCTCACGGATCGCGCTTATCCTTGATCATGGCGAAGTCAAAGACGAGCCAGCTATTGTCAAGGAAACAACTGATTCGACATTACGACCACCTTGGGGTATTATCGAAAGCGGATTCACCAACGAGACTTGTCGAATCTGGACCCTGGCTTTCAGCCAATACTCCGAGTTATCTCTCGCAGCCATCGAGCTGATCCAGGAACCAAAGCTCGAAAACCAACTCACAAAGTTCCATCGAGACCTCATTCAAAATAGCTCCCATAGAGTTATCTTTCTTTGCGGCCCGAATGTCCGCAGGGTTATTCTCGAGGGCATACCACCTTCTACACGCTGCAAGCTCAAGTTAGAACTTGACCTCTGCGAGTATGAAGTGTACCTTGAGAAGTCAAGCCCCTTTCCACGACTTTACCTGTATTGCCCTGAAGTGCCTCCGGATTCTGCGCTGAAGCAATGGGCAACGGCTCGCCGGCTTGATATGATCATCAAGTTTGCGGCTGTTGTCACGGGAACTCAACGAAACCGGAGCGGCTTGTTCGAACGAGCTGGGGCAGTCCTTCAGATAATTCGCCAAGCACGTGAGGAGAGGCGCGGAGGTGCCAAGCTCACATGTGAGAACCTGGACATCAACCTCCGAGCCTGGCTTCACCGGAAGGGTATTACTGAAGACTCAGATATCAGGGAGGTTGAGAAGGCTGCTGGCTCGTTGACTCGGGGCTTATTGATGCTCCTTCATCTCCTCCCGAGGGACCCCCGATCAACGAGCACAGCATCCGCAGTGCTGAAAAACCCAACCCGAAAACGCCTACGGCAAAGTAAGCCTTTTGACCGGAGTGAATTCGAAGCAGTTGCTCAGATATACAAGAAGGCAAAAGCCTCTGTCGAGAAGGACGTTTTAGAAAACCTTACCAGCGCCACCCAAGATACAAAGCCAGACTCAGTTGTCGATATGAACCAGAGTATCCAGAATGAAGGTTCAGGTCAGGGAACAATTCTCGAAACAGAATTGGGTTCGTTGAATAGCGAACTACCGGGAGAGGCAGACTATGCAGCCTTCAATGAGCTACTTGCCTCCAATCCAACATGGGAGACAGAATTCGATACCGACAAGATTGAAAGCAGGGAGTTTAAAGATATTTTAAGCCTTGCTCACATTGGCAACCCCCAAATTGGACAAACGCTTGGGAACGTTACTGAGGGGGTTAGAGATGACAGGCCTCACCCAACTACATTCTCTCGTCCGTCAACAAGGCACCTTGGCGTAGCGCAATACCCATGGCAGTCTGGTAAAAGATCTAAAGAGGAATGGGAGACGAAGCACAAAACCGAGGGCTATCGGGCCACTGCACCAGACAAGGTGCACAGCGCAGGACGTGTCGTGACGCTATGTTACATGATGCTTACGTTTCCTAGCCACTGGGAGTTCGGTGAGAGGTTTATTACCATTTTCCCAGAGTTCTCCGCTCCAGGAACTAGAAATCCCGATGTATACGCCACAGCTGCACTAGAGTCTGATCCGGCAAGCCGATTGGCGATAAGAGCATGCGGCAAGCTGAAAGATGGCGAGGAGTTCAGTATTTACATGCACCGCGATACCGAGCAAGCAGTCTTTGCAGCGAACGCTTTTGCAGATAGGGTTCTAGACGGCATCGACAAGCGCGATTTGCACCGGCGTCCGCGGCGATATGTTCATCCACCTCAAAGATCTCGATAACGCCTGAACGTTTTCTCATGTATTGACTCTAATAGGTTGCTAGACAGCGCTCAGCAGAATAAATCCAGCCTGAACGACTTCCAAGAAGCTGTCGCCGGGTGACCTTGATTTTAGAATTTCCTTAACTAAACAATAGTCAATTACCCTTCTCTTAAATTAACGTAGAAAAAAATTATTCCTAAACAAAGGTAACTCGACCATCCTTGCTTAAACGTAGTTTCGTCCTCCGGAGAACGGAGGGTTTCGTTAAGACGATGGAGGAGGCAAAAAAAAATCGATAGCAGCAGGGTTCGAACCTGCGAGACCGAAGTCATGGGCTCTCCAAGAGCGTTTGGTCTTCAAGGCCCACCCATTAACCACTCTGGCATGCTACCCGGTATTGGGTGCGGGTAAGTCGCTAAACCACTTTTAAAAACCTCTGAGTCTATGCTGACTAATCATATACTTAGAGTGGTTGGAGATTGTGATGCAGGGTAAGGTGGATTTTCATTGGCTTGATTCTACCTACAATATGAAATTGAAGACAGGACAGAAGTCATGATAATTGAGAGCAAGGGAGGATCTCGCGTGAGTTGGGGCACGAGTAATAATTATATACCTCTCGAAGGGACGGTCTGCTATCTTTTCTGCATTGCGTCTTAGAGGATGAACAGATCTAGGGTTCCAGGGTCCAATGACTCCAATCTTGACCCAAAAATACTTCATTATTATTCAGTCCCCCATGGACTGAATTTTCCTACTGTACCAAGTCTGCGGAAGGGGTTAGTCACTGGAGTAATGTCCTTATGCCAATGAAGAAAACGTACACTTTCATAACCTGCACCCACTGACCTGGGACCAAGTTGTTTCAAAAGCCACGGCGTGTCGACTCTCTTTGCGCACACCTTTGCTTGTTCGACGGTAATCTCGCGGTTGAGGATTATGTTGCGCGGAAGGGACGGTTCAAGGACTGCCGGCCGACCAATGCCTACGATATCGCATGCTCCCTCTGCGACGGCAGCCTCCATGCCCCTGCGAGTACGAAAACCACCTGTAACCATGAGGACGGTGTCGGGAAGGCTCTTCCTTATCTCTCTGGCAAAGTCCAAGAAGAAGGATTCTCGGGCCACTGTCCTCTTGGATACCTGTGCATTCTGCCCCTCCCCGTGTCCTCTCATCATCTGGGAACTCGTCAGCAAATGCATTCATTTGGTGTATCTTGGGCCTGCAAATAGAGATGCCCTGTCCGTACCATGGGATTTTCATATGAGCCGCCACTGATCTCCAAAAAATCTAGCCCTGCGCCTGCGATGGCCGTAGCCTGCTCGATGCAGTCACCTAACTCCGTACGTGACTGCGGCCTGTCAGGTTGCTGATCTGCTGAGTTGAGCTTGAGGCCTAGGCAGAACGTTTGCGGCACCACAGCACGAATCGCTCGGATGATGTCGACGACAATTTTTGTCCTCGCTTTCGGAGATCCGCCATAAGCGTCATCTCTCAAATTTGTTTTCGCTGACAGGAATTGGGCGAGGAGGTATCCATGTGCGGCGTGTATTTCGACCCCATCAAACCCTGCAGCAGCAGCTAAGCGTGCCGAATTGGCGAAGCGCTGTACCACATCTTCAATGTCCGATATCGACATCTCCCGCGGTGTACCAAATATTAACTTGGTCACGGCCTTCGAGATTAAGCCTGGTCCGAAATCTAGGGGCACGGCACTCGGGGCAACAGTCTTGTCCATGAAGCCTCGCTTTCCGGCTCCCAGGGGACTCTGTCGCCCAGGGTGGTTAAGCTGCATGATTGCGGGCGTGCCATTGCGACGGATTATTTCGGCAAGGCTCTTGAATGCCGCCAGAACCTGTTCCTCCTGGGACAATGCCGGGTCTATTGACAGGTCGTCGCTCGCACCCAAATATCTCATGTTTATTTGGACGTGGCCCGTGAGGATCATTCCCCATCCTCCATCGGCCCAAGCACCATAGCTCCGGGCAAATTGAGCTGATCTCGGGAGCTTCTGGGAATCAGCCATTTGCTCCGTCATGGCTGCCTTGGCCAGCCGATTGGGTAAAACGAGCCCACATGGTAGCTTAACAGGCTGGCTGAGCGGAGAGGTCATGATAGGGTTGAACCGAGGAAGATGATGTTGCTATAATTAATGTTGGGACATCTGATACGATGGTATGCATGTATTTCGGCCGGATATCGATGTTATGAAAGGAGAGTTGAGATCCCTTGCCAGGAGGCGCGGTGCTCGTTTTTGACCCATGACTGAGTAGGAACGGACGCGGAGACACGCTCGTGGCGGTTCGGGAATCGGCCTTTTGATTCTCCCGCGCCGAGCTTTTTTCTATTCTCCACACGGAATAGTTTCCACCAACGGACCGACGTGGTTGAGTCTTGAGCTCATGGGACGGGAAGATCAATAGTATTTTATACCATTTTGTATGTATTTATAATGCTAATAAATGCTGGAGCTTACGATTGGCTCCGGTTCCGATGCATTGCTCCCTAGTCAGGAGAGTGAATTTGTAATCGTAATAGATTGTAAGACCATCCAGGCTGCACAACAATATTACTACGATATTGCGAAAAAGATGAAATTCCCCAAGCCACCTCTAGTTCAGGGCTCCACGGTTTCGGCAAATCCGTCTGCGAAAGGAAGATAGAATCAATACCATGGACTCGGGTGACAGGCCTTTCGACCCGCGCTCGAGCGTTTGCCTCCTGCTGTGGCCCCACGCCAGGGTCCGTCTGGTTGTTAGAGGCGAGTTTCAGTTACCGGGAATACTGCTCCAACTTGAATCATATTTGTCAACGGAGTATTAGCTTTGGGAGACAAAAATGATCACTCTGTTTCACCTAGCATGCTACGAGGTTGCCAATAACAATGTTCCTTGTAAAATGAATACATAATAGATGTGGCATGATTGGCAGCAAGAGTTTTTTATTTATCCTGTACTGACCACCTGTGTATTACGTTCAGGAACAGAGGTAGCTTGGTCATCACATAGAACCTCATTTTCCATTAACAGCGGATACTCCCTTGTCCCGAGCCTTTTGCACTTCGAGGAGGTGCAGCAATGGACCTTTGGGCGCATCTTCTCGATCAACCATTAGTTCTATCATCCTCAGCCCCTTTCCGTCCTTGACACGGTCGTCATTCATGATCTCGTTCAGCTCCCCCCAGGTTGTAGCCCGACTAGTATACGCGTCTTTGGGAGCTCCAAAGAAGCTGGGTGCCTCCAGGTATCGCCAGGGAGTGACGCCATTGTACTTCTGGTTCCGGCCGTGAATGCATCTTTCGATGGTATATCCGTCATTATTTAGGAGAACGACCACAACATTTAGATTGTGGTGAATAATGGTCGCCAATTCTTGGGCTGTCATTTGAAAACTCCCGTCTCCGATGAAGAGGATTGTGCGCGCGTTCTCGATACCAAAATAGTTGGATGATTCACTCAACTCCCGTTGAGCAAGCGCGGCTCCCTGGGCACCGGGAAGCATATATCCGATGGAGAGCCATGTCACTGGCGTAAAAAGCCGAGTGTGTTTCGGCAAAGGCATCTCTCGAACGCCGTAACCAGCGGTGCCAGTCTCGCCAAGAACGATGTCGCCAGGGCGTACAAAATTGGCTAGAATGCGCCATAGCTTGTCTTGGGAGAGTGGTTGGTCACTGGCCACCTCTGAAAAGGAGACCTTGTATTCGTGAGGTAGGTTGGGATAGGGGCCCACGGACTGCAGTTTGGATGCGTCAAGGTCCTCAATGAGCCGGGTCAAGATCTGTTTGGCGGGGATGTCCCGGTAGAGATCGTTCCCAAGGTCCACCTGGGTGTCGGTGAAGGAGATGGTAACTTCTGCTCTTGGGATGCTGGTGTATGCAAACGTGTTGGTGGAGCTGAAGTGAGGACCAAGACACAGTATCAAGTCGGCCTCTTTTACGAAGGTTTGAACCTCAGGGTTATCAAATCTTCCCTGGTAGATTCCGTGGAAATTCGGCACAGTTTCGTCCAACAGACCCTTTCCAAAGGCTGACGCCCAGGTGGGCCAGTTTGTAGCTTCCACGAGCTTCTGCGCAATGTCAACAACCCCCATGGGTCTAATCTCACCATCAACGAGGATGATGGGTTGTTTCGCATTGTAAATTTTGCTGAGGATTTTGGCAAGCACATTGTCCAGCTCTGGATTCAGGCTGATTTCATGCACGCCCTCAAGGGGTAGTTCCAGCCTCTTTTCATCAACTGGCGCTGACACGAGGTCCACGGGGAATTCAAGATAGACCGGGCGGCTATGACGAAGGCATTGTCTCAAGACGTCATCGATCTGCTGGGGGCTTGTGCGGGGGTCCCAGAGCCGAGTCTGCGCGACCGTTACATGGGCGTGCATTTGTGCGAAACGCTTGTACTCTCCATCGTTGAACGTATGGTGGATGAGGAGTCGTGAGTCATGAGATTCCCTGGCGGGTATGCCGACAATGTGCACCACGGGAGCTCGTTCGGTGTATGCCCCGGCGATGGCATTTATCGCGGAGAGTTCACCAACGCCGAAGGTTGTGACGAGAGCACCGAGACCTTTGATTCGTGAATAGCCGTCGGCGGCGTACGCAGCGTTGAGCTCATTTGCGTTGCCCACCCACAGCAAGCCGGAGGGTTCGACATAGTCCAGCAAAGTGAGGTTATAATCCCCTGGTACGCCGTGGATAGACCCGACACCTAGTTGTCTGAGACGACGAAAAAGGTATTCTGCAAGTGGTATGGTCGAAGTCATGATTGATGATGAGATGCGTGTAAGGGTGTGTGAGGGTGAGTGTGACTGTATGTGTGTGCAAGTATTGTTGTGCAGAAATATGTGTGTGTGTTCGTGCTTCGTCCAACATCACGATTCCAAACGACTGCAACCGCGTCTCTTTATATCCGGCGCTTAGTGTCGGTCCCGTGACGGGTGCCGAGGCATCAAGGTTAGAATCGGTGTTAGGGGGTCACGTTGGTGACACGGGGATGTGCGGGGTCTCTCCGATTGCCCCGATGACTGGAAAGCACCGGAGCCCGGTAACGCTCAGACCCTACCTAAACTGAGTATACTCCTCGATGCTTGCTTCCGCTTGCCATATTGGTCCATGGCAAAGGCTAGAATCCCGACTAGCTGGGATCTTGCCGCCTTTAATACAGCTTCGCCTGCGCCCTGTCGCTTACATGCAATGCAACGATTTCGGCTCAGTGTGATTGAGCCAGCATCTAGATTGCTTTTTGGGGAATAACCAGTTGGCTGCCCACCCTCCTTCCCTTGAGAGTGTGACAATACTTTATGGCGATAGCATCTGAATTAGACTTTCAACCATAAGCAATGTGGTAATTTAATACTTTCCATGAACACTTGCCCTAGATTCGATGGCAACCTTCTGCACAATAAGGACCTGTCCCGCCGTCTATTACTGCCTAGAGATGATGTCACCGACTGTGATGAGCGGATCCGTTGCTCAATATCTAATTAACTGGTTTGATGCTTCTCATTATTTGGAACCCCAACAGCATGCGAAGCTCGCCTTCGCATCCTACCCATTGACGTCACTTGTCGGTGGTTCTTAAATTGCACCCACCATTTGCTCCATATTAGCACTCTAGCGCCAACCGTCCAGTAGAAACGATTGGTTCGGTGGTGTAGTTGGTTATCACGCTTGTCTAACATCCACAAGGTGCTGGACACAAGAGGTCCCCGGATCGAGCCCGGGCCGAATCATCAAGCTTTCTTTTTTCTTCCTTCTTTCCTCACACAGCCCTCCCTCAAAAGCTAGCTTCTTTTCTCCTTCTTTCTGTTATCCTCTACCTTTTTTTTTTTTTTTTTTTTTTTTTTTTTGGGTTTGGTTTGGCCCTCTTCTGTTGTTTATTTATTTATTTAATTTTACATTTTACGTTCCATCAGCCAGCTACGTTTTCATTTCTTGGCAACTGTGCCTGCAAGACCGGAGGCGCGATTTCCCCGAGAGATCAAACCCTGATAGCCTTCATGCCTCCAACGTGCGGATAGTGTAGGCGTGGCGGTTTGTCACGACATTCTCCTGATGAGCACGCCAAACCGGATATAAGCATGTCGCCCTGCAGAGGGGAAACGAGATGGACGGACCGGTGGATGCACTTGATTTCTGACCGAGGAGAATGAGATGAGAGAGTTGACTTGATGTAGCATCTCTATGCTGTCAGGCCTGCGGCGACGAAGGGATTATATTATATCTGCTTAAAGCTATATTAAAATAGTGTAGATTGCATGTAGAGGGGCAGTCGAAGAAAAGTTACGATGCGTCAGACGACATTCAGGGTCGTGGGAGCGACGAGATGTGTCTCGCCAAGAACACCCTTCAAGACTAGAACCAGCTCATCAATGATACCGAGGAATTTCAAGTAAGCGCTCAGAGCCAAGCAGAAACGGCGATAATCCTCGTTACGAATGAGGTCCGGGTCGTGTGCGAGGTCGATAACGGGATGGTGCTGCTGCCAGAACTCGAATGATCGTTTGACGAGCGGCGCAGGCAGAATTTCTGGCAATGGGTCGCCCGTTTTTAGCGCCTGTTCGCATATACCGAGTACCGCCATGATTTCACCAATCGTTCGATGGTCAAGGATTCCTATCAGCCGTGCAAGTCGGTCTTGGTATTCGAGTGGTAGTGTCCCTGAGAGTGAGAGCAATCGGCCGAGATTGCGATTCATGCCCTGGCAGAGGTTCTTGACCAAATCGAGACTCTCGCTGTCGAACTTAGAACTTGAAAATTCGAATCGAAGGAGGTCGATCAAGTCCTCCAGCATCAGCAACGACTCGTTCATTTTCAGTGAGATGGTTTCCGCTAAGAGTCCCCCGTCTTCAGAAGGTTGGCTCCAACAGGAAAGTAGCAACGCATAGTGGTCGGATAACGTCCGAAGCGAGTGTGAGAGAGACTTGGAAATGTGTCTCGCCGCTGACGGAGGGCGGGGAAACAGTTCAACGACGGTTGCCGCGGCTATACCGACAAGAACGAGCAGCAGACGTCTCCAGAACACGTTATACCCTACTCCAATACTACCATACTGGGGGATGTGGCTGCGAAATTCACGTTAGCTTCGCTCTCTGCTTTCTCTCATTCACTCACTCGCCGGCAACAAAAAGGCATCGGCGGATTGAACACGACCTCCTTTCCACTTACTGGTCATCGTAACTGTAACCCACGACCAGCACGAAAGTTGCACCACCCATGATGCCTCCTTGGAGAAGATGCGGCGGCAGATACAGACGGACCCAAAGTAATAGCACAAGCATAACCGCCATCACGGCTGAGAGCCCGTAGGGATTTCCAGGCCCTGTTCCGGAACCGACATACCAGGCGGCCAGACCCAAGGCCCCCCCCACGACGGTTCCGATAACACGGGAAATGACGGAAAATGTGAAGTCGGCCATATACAGAACCAATCCGGTTTGTGCCATAATTAACGCCCAAATGCCTTTTTCGCGATAGTAAAAACCAACAGTCTGAGGGAGTAAGCCAGGGATGGAAACTGCTATTGTGACGACAACCATCCGAAGGGCGTAGAGTCCGTCGTTGCAGGTGAGCCAACGGAATGTCCCGATTATAGCCCGCCCTAGTTTACTCTGTCGTGGGGTGTAGTGCCCGCGGCTGATTCGCAGTCTTTCCTTGGCTGCTTTGGTCCGGTCCTCCAGCACGTCTTCTGGATCATCCTCACAGCCTGGAGCCATATCTGGGACTCTCGAGTTCTTCCCAAATGCCCAAGATCCTGCTTTCTTCAAGCCGGTCGGTCCCCACAGGCGCGCCTTGGGGTACTTGTCAAAAGTCGTCGCGACGAGTTCAAGGAGGGCCTCTGTCTTATCCAGGGTACTAGCCATGTGCTCTTCGAAGACCATTCCAACAACCAGTCCTCGGAGCCGACTGGCTACAGTGGCGTGGGAAACGTCGGGATCCTCCTCGGGGCTGAAACGCGGGAGATAACCGTCAAGGAGCGCCTCGGTCGTATCATGCACGAAGGAAGGTCGGGTCTTACGCAGCAGTGACAGGGTCTCTCGGCACCGTCGGGAGAGTTTCTCACGCTCAGCCGCGGACGGTCTCCAGTACCAGCGTCGGCGGTTTACCATGCGGATGCAGTCCTTCGCAGCGCCAAGTCCCTCTAGGCACGCAGCGATCGCGCTTGCGCTGGTAGTGGTCAGCTGTCGTAAAGTCTCCTCACGAATAGGTTGGTCATCTGGACACTGGAGGCCCTTCATCATTTCCCCAAGCTGAAACAGTTGCTGGCTGCCGATTTCGTGCTTTTTCTCGTCGATGCTCGAGTCCGAGTCGTTGACCTTGTCGGTATACTTTTGCATTGCTCGTACGATGAAGGCCTCCCCTGATATCCGACTGGCATGGAAATCCAAAAGAGATAAGATGGATGCCAGTACCTGTTTTACACCCTCGGTCACTTGCTTGACATCGTTGGGTCCCCAGCAACCAATAGCAAAGTCAAGCGGAAGGAAGACAACGGCCGGCTCCATTTTGCGGTACTCCTCGATAAGTTTGGATTTCGTTTTGGACAAATGCCGCAAACTCTCACTATTGTCATCCTTCTTGCCTCCTAAGGTTGACGAAGTAAAGTGCAAGGGCACCTTAACAAGGTCGAGTAGGTCCTCCACGCTGTCAAGGACCACATGCGAGGTTGACCTTGGGAAGAAGAGTATTGAGCAAACCACGCCGAGTCCAACACCGATCGCGGCGGGTTTCACAATAGGCAGTGGCAAAGTTCCGCTAAAAGACGGCAATACGGGGGTGAAGAGAAGGTATAGGTCGATGACAATAGTGGCAAACAGCTGCGTAAGAGCCAACTTGGGATTGCTAGCACGAAGTCGGGCCTATCGCCAATTGTCAGCTGTACGAAAGAGCCTGGGTATGGGCGGGCGGGAGTAAGGTGGACGGCACGATACCATGAGATATATAAAAACACACGAGAGGCAGCACGCAACTACCGACACTCGTGTATCGAGCATAAATCCCTCATAGATCAGTTGTTGCGCAGCATAGTTGGGCGACGTCCCCGTGTCAGAGGCTTGCTGGGCAGCTGCTTGTTGGAGGGAAGCTAGCTGTGTTTGGGTCTCCGCGTCCGGTCTGGCTGCTAGGGCTGCCTTCATCACAATGGAGCCCCATCCCCAGGCCAGACAAATTCCAATGAAAAGCGAGAGATATCCAAGGACATGGATGAAGACTATCCCGGCCGGGGGGAGGATTAACAGAACGAGACTGTAAGGATCTGTAGTTAGTAAATCCGGTAATGAACCAATCTTTAAAAAAAAAGCGAGGAGACCTTGGTTACCTCGCAAAGAACGTGGCGGGCCCGATGTTAGTGAGGATGGGTGTAATAAACATGAAGATGGACGCTACCCAAGCCGCTACCCAACAACGGAATAAGACCTTGAGATCTCGGGCGCTGAAATGATCCAAAAAGGCGGGTAGTTTCCTCCTCCTCCGCGCACCGTCGTCAGCCCTCGTCATCACCACGGGCGCCACCGGTGGTAGTTTGCCATCTTCCTGGAGGGTCATCTCGTCAGACGCCACGGTTCTGGCTTCTGAGGGGAGAGATGGCCAGGATCGCCTGCACCAGGAGCGACTTGCTTTCGAGCGGGGAATTAGCGAAGGAGGGACAGAAAAGGAAAAAAAAAAAGAAGGAAAAGAAAAGAGACCGATCGACAACGCGCAGACCACAGCGCAAGCTGTCTATCAAGCGTCGGGAAGGGAGGGGAGCTTTCAATAACCTGTAGCTTTGTACCCAAGCCAGCTAGATATACCTTCAGTGGGAGGATGAAGCTCCAAATTTGCGAACGCGTCACCGTATCGGACATTTTCACTATTCCGACTCGAGACGCTGACCTGACGCTAGCTGGGGCTGGTCTCGGTACCGCCGCTGTGACCCACAAGATCAGCAGGATGACCTTCCTATTTTCGCCGCATTTACTGAGACCTAAGATAACCGCGGGTGGGCGGACCTATGAGAGACGAAGAGGTGGTCCTGGGCGATCCTGCAAAATGCAATTTGTCGGGGATTAGCACAGCGAAGGAAAAGCCAATTGTGATTTTCGTCGCCTTCAGAAGCTGAGGACACAACACCGAGGCATAGAAGAGCCAACCAAGCGGTCCTCGCTCAGTCCTCACCTCAAAGGGCCCGCCTGGATGGAGAAAGTAGTAATTTAAGCTGTTGATATTTCCGGGATTATTTCTAGGGTTCCCTGTATGGTTACCCAATCGATCTCAAGCAAGAGCTTATTGCCTCTACACCAGAGTAGGTTTCGGAGTGCGGGATTCGAGAAATCCGAACTCCTTCGTCGGAGGCAAACCCCTGGTCTTCCGGCTCCAGAAGCGGATTCAGGAGAACCCCCGGGCCCGGATGTTCCGAGAAAATAGTGGCTAAGGAGGAGAGTTCAGCATCCCGGCTTCTGGAAAAGCTAGAAGAACTAATGACCTCTTCATCCTTTTTCGCTCTTAGAGATGCAGACGAGATGGTTCTTCTTTCACATGTCAGTGATCCCGATCGGCGTCGGTGCTCTCGGCGGCTTAATTACTTGTGGGGGTTGAGCACATCTCCCACGATTTGAGAGCCTTGGCGTTCTATGCGTTCTATAAATTTTTCCACCACAAATCTTGGCTCGCCGTGGGACCCGAGGAATGGACAGAATACACGAATACACGAATACACGGTGAGAAAATCGGTATATATCCCCGAAAATTATGAAACGCTTGCGGACAAAACTGGAGCGAGTTAATCTGCGAGTAGCGAGGGGAGGTGGGCATGACTCTGATCCTGTCATGTTCTAGATGACCCCTTTTGGCCTCGCGATGTGGTGGCTCCACAGGCCTGACGGTCCTGGAAATGCGCCCTTGTGGCACAAGCTCAGAGTGAGATCTCACGAATATATATACAGAATAGAGAAATCAAACATCACTCTATGCACAGCGCGGCCAACAGCATCTACAATTCTAGATCCTAGAGGACAAGTTCTGAGCAGGATTCTCTCTATGATCCACCTCCACTAAACTCGCAGAAAGATAACCAAATATTGCTCATCGTACCGTTGATAAAGTAGAAAAGGAATGTCGGCATCAATACCGCCTTTGGGAGGACACTGATTTTAGTTAGGGTGTACGATGGGCCCTCCCCATTGTTCCCGCACTTAAACCTGGGGAGAGGCTATTTGTTAGTGTATAGTCTGGTCTTCCCCAGACCCCACATAACGGGTATGCTGCTTAAGTCGTCATTCTACATACAAGCATAGCTTGGGCCTACTGCGAGTTATCTTCCCTGTATATCAGCAAGTCCTATTACCATGACAGAGTCCATGGCTTCAAAGATAGGGGGGACCCAAAAGAGCCTACTATTTACCTACTTGTCGGCATGAGAAAGTGATTCTTCGGAAGTTGAGCCACTTGCTCAAGACACTTAGTTTCGAGATAGACCCAGGCACTTCCAACGTCATGTTTTAAAGATACTGACGGAAGACATGCTGCGAAGTCCCTATTCACGAGGTCATGGTCCTCACAAGAGTGACATGAAGAAGGTATCTATCTACATTCGGTGCCAGAGGCCAAAAGTAAACCGTGATGAACTTACAACTTCCACAGTAGGCAGAATGCGCGGGGATGGATCCGAAGGAAGGCAAGGCGGATGGCATTCCACACCCCTAAACTACCATCTATTAGCCGGATCCCCGGGCCAAAGTATTATACGCCTAAAGTTCACCTTGGCCAAACAGCTTACAGGCATATTGAGGCGAGAATACGTGGTGATGATAACAGGATCGATTGGAAAATCGTTTGTGTTCTATATCTATGCGGGGCAGTGGTCACCCCATTCGAGCAACTAAGTGATAAAGGTATCCGTTGTTCCAATGTAAATTTCATTCTCCATTCGGCTCCCAGCCCAGGGGCGCCAATTCCACGCCGGTGTCGACAAAACCCGGCGCAACTAAGGTACGTCGTCAGCAAGCCAATCTCCTAAAAGGAACGGGATGAAACTCAATTTGCGTACCTGTTGTCCCAACTAGTGTCCAGTCCCCGTGGCTCCTCGCGCTCTGCCACTCCCACTTCGCAATGGGTACCTGCGGTTGCTGGTCCCTGAAAATGTCGGGCCCCAAGGTGACGTCTCTGACGGGCTCCCCCTCACCGGGCCAAAGAGACAGCGTGAGGGGGGCACCCGCATAATAGTGCCAGACTTCGACCGCGTCCACGCGGTGCCACACCGATGAGCCGGCCGAGCCCTCGAGTAGGTAGTAAATGGCGGTGCTAACAGAGCGGTTGTTGATTGTGTCCGGGTCTCGGAAAGTCTCTGTGAAATACCCCTTTTCCGGATTCGGGATAAGGCCGAGCCGAGCGATGACGTCCTTGGCCGGGCGAGCCGAAACAGGGATGTGACGGTGGTCTCCATTCTCGCGGTCCCATCTCCGAGGAGTGGATCTCCCGAGAACTTGCGGTGCCAGGAGAACACCAGCGAAGAAAAAGGCCAGAGAAGTCAGTCTAGCCATCATTTAGGCGGGCGCTGTGAGTGATGAGTTTTGGATGGTGGTTTTTGTTTTCTTTTTGAGGGAGCCTCTCAACGAGCTGAGAGAGGGAGAAGTTAAGAAGGCATAAGTCGACGGAATTCAAAATTCATCACTGTCCGGACTATCCGGGCTGGGAGGGTATGCTGACGTCCCGCTTCCTTTTTTGGTGGAACGAGCCGTCGCACGTGGAGAAGATTTCTGCATCGCCTGATCTTGCCGTGGAAAAAGACTATTTCCTCGCAGGGAGCAACACATACTTTGCAAAGCCACCCTAAGAGTCTAAAATCTGACACCCAGTACGGATTGCGGCTGCAATTGCTAGCGCTGCGTTGCATCCTATTAAGTCGCACTACGGGTCTGGCTTAAGGTTTCAGAACTGTGCATCTCTATCAAAGCTCTCGCTGAACGGCATGAAGGATGGATAAAGATTCTCGTGTTCATTCTCATAGATCTGAATGTCATGGCGCTTTATTACTTGGCCAGGAAATGACTTCACATTTTTCATCAACATTAAACCATAGAGAAAGTAGGTAAAATAAAATAAAATAAAATAAAATAAAATAAAATA